GGGAGAGGGTGAGGGAAGGCGGAGCGGGGCCGGGGAGGAGAAGGGGAGCTGTGGGGCGCCGGGGGGGCCTGGAGGAGCCGTGGGTGGGCGGGAGGCGGTGCAGGCCCCGGCTCATGGCGCTGCAGCCGCCTCACGGCAACCGGCTGCCTGCAGCCCGGGTTTGCGGCAGCTGGGCTACCAGGCTGGGCCCACGGAAGGGCAAGAGTCACCGTTCGCTGTGCCTTAACTGGTTATTTATTTTTATTGACTGAGTCCATCACTCTGCGGTGGAAGAAGTGGGTGTTGAGGCATTGGGCAGCTGATGAGGTGGAACGTGAAGTTTCCACCAGAGCAAGGCAGACGCAGACACGCTCCTCTATAAATGCGGACCTCTGTAAGGCCAGACAAAGCCCGAGGAAAACGTTCCGTGTTTTAGAAAGTATCCACTCAATTTTAAGTGCTCTCCCGATGCCGTGGATAAGCAGGGAAAGGAGGGCTGCTGTGCGTGAGGCCTGATGGCAGGGCTCTCCAGGCTCCTGCAGGCTTCATGCTGGAGTTCGTGGAGCAGCCTGGCTCATCCATCCCCAAACAGCAGTGTGGATGCCTATTGCATAATTGTATATTGTATAATATACAATATATATAATTGCAATATTGTATATTGCATAATGACGTGTGGGTTTTTTTCTGATTTAGCATGTGGTGCCTCCAAACTGACAGGAGATCATACGGTTTTGGTAGCAGCTGTTGGTAAACTAGAAAAAACCCCAAATTATTTCAGAATAAGCATGCAAAGGAGAATGTAGCGGTGAGCCTTGCCAGTAGCCAGTGTCATTTTCTACAGGAGGAAATTCTATAAGCGTTTTATGCATGTATATTTAAAATAATATGAAAATAGTTCCTGGATATTCTAGGACATACAGCCTTAATATTTTCTACCCGGTGCCTGTTTTTGAAAAGGAGGGTCATATTTCCTTATTTCTGCACAAAAGTGAGAGTAGATTTGGTAGTGCTGATGGGCCAGGATGAGCATCCAGGAATGCCTGGCCTGCCAAGAAGGAAATAGGAGCTTTGTCATGCAGGTGCATTTGGCACTTGCCTTACCCTTGATTCTGTGATCTGAAGGTCTTGCTAATCTTGAAATAAAATTTAAAAAAATGGTTAAAAAAAGAGTATATACAGTTAAGGGTATAAAAGGTGTGGTTTCTTTTGCCGTCTGTCTCCTGTTCCTGTGGAGTGATCGAGGAGGAGAGTGAAGACAGTGGTGTTTTTTTGACATTCACATGGTGCTGCTGCAGTAAAATGAGTCATCGTTCTCTCTGCCACCACACACAGCAGCCAGCGTGAGTTTTTGGCAAGAATGAGCAAAACTTTGCAGGGCACAGATCTTTCTGATCAACTGCTGTTGATTCTGTCTGCGTTCAGAAAAACAAGTGAAGTGTCCTCTCTCTAAAGGGCTATTAAAAACCGCTAATGAGTGATGCAACTTGATGAGAGTGCATGCAAACCAGAATATCAATTTTTATGAAGTCAGCTTCTCTCCTCCACCCTGTGCTGCTACCCCAGAACCAAGCAGAAAACTTTCTACTCTTTCCCTCCATCAAGCTAAGCAAAACTCTGGCTGTTTTGTGCATCTTAAACATTGACTAATTTTTTATGATTTAGGGTTCCTAACTGAATAGAATGGAAGAGGCATTTTATAAAGGAATGGAATATTTTTTACGGTAATTAGGAAGGTGATGTCTTAAATCTTTAAAGGCTGTAATTAGGCTAAACACCAAAGAGAGTTTTTAACCTCTTTTTTTGTCGTGCTGGATTATTTCTTGCTGACGTAAGTACAGTATGGGATGGAGCCGTAATATCAGCATGTCATGCCTTACCTCCTACAGAGAAGATTCTATACACTATGCAAAAATGAGGTGAAACAAAAAGAATCTTAGAATGGTTTGGGTTGGAAGGGACCTTAAAGATCATCTAGTTCCAACCCCCCTGCCCTGGGCAGGGACACCTCCCACCAGACCAGGTTGCTCCAAGCCCCATCCAGCCTGGCCTTGAACCCCTCCAGGGATGGGGCAGCCACAACTTTCCTGGGCAACCTGGGCCAGTGCCTCACTACACTCACAGGAAAGAATTTCTTTCCAGTATCTAATCTAAATTCTCCTCTTCCAATTTAAAACCGTTGCCCCTTGCCCTGTCACTGCACTTCCTGACAAAGAGGCCCTCTCTGGCTCTCCTATGGGCTCCCTTCAGATATTGAAAGGCCGCTATAAGGTCTCCCCGGAGCCATTGAAGAAGGCCATTGACTGAATATTTTGTAAAAAATACATTTGACACGTGTGTCTGAAGGCCGAAGAGGGAAAGAAAAGGTTCTCCAAGCAGCTTATAATCTCTTCTTCATTGTTCTCTTGTCCTCCCACTCTCAGAAATAGTAGGATCATGGTGAAAGAGGGCGGTTTTGCTCCCATTCTTAAAGGAAAACTCCTTCCTTCTGGATAATCTGTCTTTTGTAAGGTTTGCTTACAGTACCTTTCAGATGAGATAATCACTCCACCTTTTAAAGTTTCACCTCTGGATTATTTCTAAAGGATGTGCTAATTGCAAAAGCAAGTAACTAGACAGACTGTTGTAAAGATATGAAAAATATCCCTATCTTGTAATTCAATAGCTTTCCAGGTCTAAGTGGTGGTTTTTTAGCACCATTGGGGTTATCCATTACCCAGCAGCTATTGGTGTAAGAATCCTGCAGATTGGTTTGCAAAGTTTACGATAACATCTATTTTAGCTATAGCATGGTGTTTAGATACTGTTTTGTGCTGAAAGAAGTAGGATCAGTGATGCAGTTATATTGCATTTGTTCTGGGTGAGTATGTACAGGCATACATTGTGTGGTAATGCACAGGACAGTCAGGGAAACTAACATTTTAGAGAGAGGTATGTTTTTTATTATCTTCAGTATGTTTTTTAGTTTACTTCTAACTATTTACACAGATAAATGCACCGTTTATGTGTTTCCAAAATAAAATACACTGATAATTTAACTGTCCTCTTGCCTGCAAGTAATTTTAGAAGTGACATCTGGACTGAGAAATGGGAAGAAAGCAGTAATTTTAAAATACTATTTTATATCTGAAATGCTTTGCAGGGTCAGGTTATTTGCTTCCTTAATAGTTGCCAGTGCTGGGTTTGTGCCTTAGTGGGGTTTGTGTGTTTGGTATACACCCAGGAGAGGCTGACAGCAGTGAAATTGCCTAAAATACCAGCAAGAATCTTTGCAGAAATGTAGAGCTTCGGCTTCCATTTAACTTGCTTGCTTTATGTATTGCAGTTCTATTGTTCAGGTTTGTACTACTTCAAATGCTGTGTTCAGCATCCTACAAGAAATTAAGTTACCGGCGTCCCGGTGTGCAAACAGAAGACGTTTAGAATTGAGATAAGGAAATATTGCTTTGGTGAAAACTGACAGAATTTGTTTATTCTTTTCTTCCATGGAAAGTTGATCTTTGGCCTTTTCAAAAATAAATTACCAGCTTTTGATTCTTTCTATAGAATGGTGATTTTTGCTGTAACAGCTAGAAAATTGTGTTTCCAAGTTTACAAAACCAGAAGTTGCTTCCCCGTGAAGGGCTGTAGCCAGGGAATATTGAATGCATTTCTGAGATTCTTTGATTTTTCTCGGTATCTGAGTCTTTGCTGATTGTTTTCTACCCAGTATTCTGTATGTGCTTCTTAGCAGAGAGCGAGGAAGAGGATGACAATGACATGGAAGTTGAAGATCAAGATAGTAAAGAAGCTGAAAAGCCAAACGTCATTAATTTTGATACCAGTTTGCCCACCTCACATATGGTATGTTCTTTATATAGCAGCCATTAAATACGTCTTGAAGAGATTTTGATTGGTTTTGTGTGGTTCTATTGTGACGTTCTTAAGCCAAAGGCCTGGCTTTATTTTATCTCTGTAAATCACCAAAACCTCATACGCTACTGTCATTTCCTTACTGTTTTCAGTATTTAGGTTCTGATATGGAAGAGTTTCATGGAAGAACGGTGCATGATGATGACAGCTGCCAGGTGATTCCGGTGTTGCCCCACGTGATGGTGATGTTGATTCCTGGACAGACGTTACCTCTTCAGCTTTTTCGCCCTCAAGAGGTTAGCATGGTGCGGAATTTAATTCAGAAAGACAGAACGTTTGCTGTTCTTGCATACAGGTAAAATACACAAGTGGGTTTACTGATGGTATGCAGCATGTATTTTTAGCACAATTTCTGTGGATGCTAAATCAAAAGCAGATGGTTGCGTCAGTTCCCTGGTGAATAACATAAGTTGTGGTGTTGATCTGCTTTTCTTGTTTGAGCATCCTCTTGATTTCAGTAACTGTTTGAATGCATTGCTCCATTTTGCTTAAAGATTAAGCCTTGATCTGAACTGTAAAAATCAGGTTCTTGTTTTGAGCACTGTATTGTTGTAAAAGTGTATTGGCTTGTTTTGTGTGTAAACTAATGAGCACAGACAAATGTTTCACAATGGAGTTGAGAGACAGGAGGTGACAGTAAAGTGGAAAAGGTAAAGGCTAATCTGTGCCAAAAGAATCTGGGAGTATTCCTCCGTCTTCCTCCCATTTACTATGGTTTAAATCATGTAGGAGGTGGGAACAGTTATTTGTAGAAAGTCAATCTAAAGAATTTTGGTCCTTTTCAGTATCTGGATTTCAAATGCAGATGATCCTTGTGTTCCCAGAATTTCACCTCTAGACCCTAAAGTAAAACCAAGTCAACTGGCAAAACACCGCAACCAAACAACACATTAGAAGTTGCTTTCAAAATGGAAAAATTATGATTGCACTTAGTTGAAGGTGTTTTACCAAACTTACTTTTTTGATAAGACTAATCGTGCACGGTCAGTGCAGGTAGACTAACTCGTGAAATCTGAATGAACAGTGCTGTTTCAAGGGTAGGTAACCTTTTTAATTCTGTTACTTTTAGTAACACACGTGAAAGGGAAGCACATTTTGGAACAACAGCAGAAATCTATGCCTACAGAGAAGAGCAGGACTATGGAGTTGAAACGGTCAAAGTGAAAGCAATAGGAAGACAGAGGTTCAAGGTTCTTGAAATAAGAACCCAGTCAGATGGGTAAGAAAATTATCTATTTATTTTTATGTACTGCAAATCTTGTTTTAGCAAAACGTTTACTTTTTACTACAGGTGCATTTGCCCTTTCAGTCACAGTCGACTGGTGAACATAGATATTAATTGAATGCTTAATTAGTAGCTTCTCTGTTTATTAAGGACTTCTGGCATTTCCCGTTCTAATACTCATGTTTAGTTATTAATAACTTTGCTATAAAAGTCTCTTAAAGAACATCTACCTGGAATTTGTTTTGATGTGTGTGAGAAAACATCTGTCGGATTGACTTCGTTTCTGAAAATTAAGTTGGGATAAAGATGTTGATTTGTCTGCATTATAAGTTCTAAAGCTTTATTTCAAAATCTCTCACATCCTGGTTTCAAGCCAGTGAGAGGATATGATATCGGGTGTGTGCCTTCAGTTATCTTGTGGAAAGCCTCCCTGATAGCAACCAGATTCCGCTACTTTCAGAAAATGAAAGTTACAGTTTTTCAAAGGAGACCTTTCTAGAGATGGTCTGTGTTGGACGTGTTCCACTTTGGGACTGCAATTGCAGATAAAGTTCTGAATTGCTGCAGGCGAGAGTCTGACACTACAGCTAATAACAATACACTTGGCTATTTTTGTACTTGAAATGATCTTTAACTCCTGAGCCTCCACAGCAAGGATTCAGCTGTGTGATTCAGAGATGGAGAGGACAGTAGCTGTGCCCAGAGGGGTGGTGGTTTTCAGGAGAAGCTGCCCATGAGAGGGGAGGACTGGAGTCTGGTAATAATAATGGAGAAACAAGTTGCTTCTTTGGTTTGTTTTTCTCTTTGTAAAACAAAAGTACACTGAGGTTTCTAGAAAAATACTTGTCGACTGGTGAACATAGATATTAATTGAATGCTTAATTAGTAGCTTCTCTGTTTATTAAGGACTTCTGGCATTTCCCGTTCTAATACTCATGTTTAGTTATTAATAACTTTGCTATAAAAGCAGTTGACTGATGAACGTAGATATTAATTGAATACTCGTGTTTAGTTATTAATAACTTTGCTATAAAAGTCTCTTAAAGAACATCTACCTGGAATTTGTTTTGATGTGTGTGAGAAAACATCTGTCGGATTGACTTCGTTTCTGAAAATTAAGTTGGGATAAAGATGTTGATTTGTCTGCATTATAAGTTCTAAAGCTTTATTTCAAAATCTCTCACATCCTGGTTTCAAGCCAGGTGTGCAGTGAGAGGATGTGATATCGGGTGTGTGCCTTCAGTTATCTTGTGGAAAGCCTCCCTGATAGCAACCAGATTCCTGAGAGGATATGATATCGGGTGTGTGCCTTCAGTTATCTTGTGGAAAGCCTCCCTGATAGCAACCAGATTCCGCTACTTTCAGAAAATGAAAGTTACAGTTTTTCAAAGGAGACCTTTCTAGAGATGGTCTGTGTTGGACGTGTTCCACTTTGGGACTGCAATTGCAGATAAAGTTCTGAATTGCTGCAGGCGAGAGTCTGACACTACAGCTAATAACAATACACTTGGCTATTTTTGTACTTGAAATGATCTTTAACTCCTGAGCCTCCACAGCAAGGATTCAGCTGTGTGATTCAGAGATGGAGAGGACAGTAGCTGTGCCCAGAGGGGTGGTGGTTTTCAGGAGCAGCTGCCCACGAGAGGGGAGGACTGGAGTCTGGTAATAATAATGGAGAAACAAGTCGCTTCTCTGGTTTGTTTTTCTCTTTGTAAAACATCAAAGTACACTGAGGTTTCTAGAAAAATACTTGAATGTGATAGATGATGAATACCCTTGTCTGCTTATAATAGTGACTGAGACTCTTAACTAGTTAACTAAGAGTATGCTGAGTCTTCTTGTCATTTTTGAGTTCTTCCTGGGCGCTTCTCTGGTTTGTTTTTCTCTTTGTAAAACATCAAAGTACACTGAGGTTTCTAGAAAAATACTTGAATGTGATACATGATGAATACCCTTGTCTGCTTATAATAGTGACTGAGACCCTTATCACTACTTAGTTAAGAGTATGCTGAGTCTTCTTGTCATTTTTGAGTTCTTCCTGGGATGATGCTCTGCACCGTGTTACATCCTGAGCCTCTCTCAGCATCACTGTCCAGAGATACAGGCTCCAGACGTTGATTCTGTAAGATTGTGACAGTTCTCAGTACAATTCCTAGAGGTTTTTGTGGTATTTTCTGCAAAGCATGTAACATCCTACTCCAAATCTGTAAATCTAAAGCTAATCATCTGTATTCTACTATTGTTCAGTGTAGTGGCATTTGCTTTAGAAAGAGGCCTAGGAACAGTCTGAGCTCAGCATTTTCATACGCTTTTACAACCTGCAGCTGAAGAAATCAAGGATACATGTGCTACTTGCAATTTATCACTAACATCTGGTTACAAATAATATTGCAAATTATGCAGTTTAGAAAAAGCCATGGCTTGAACACAAGATGGCAGTACTTGGCCAACTACAGTAGCAATGGCAGTGTTGCTGAGAACTCAGTGTCCAGAAGCAGTTAAGATGTACAGTGATTTTGTTCTGCTTTTCAGGCATTTTAGTGTGATGATTTTATATCTACTGACCTGCAGAGATCACTTTTACACAGCACGTTCACAAGTTTCATTCATAAATGTGAATTTTTTAATGTGTGAAATAAAGGAGAGGAGTTTGATTTTTCTCATCGTGGCAAGTCCCAGATTTATTGGAATAACTTAAACAAATAGACTTACTCCAGTTTCAAATAATGCGTGTTTTGTGGGTTTCTGGAGTGATTAGTGCAGTTTGGAGATGTGAGCCTGTGTTCCTTAGCTCATCCTGAGGAAATGGTGCTCTCTGCAGGGTATAGGACATTCTCTGGGCTCCTGTGCCAACGTCCTTAACTCTTTCTATGAGTGACCCTGGTAGCGTGGCAGTTTGCTGCCACCTTTGGCTATAGATCCGAGGGACATGAGAAGAATGTAGTGTTCCATTTGTAGAAATAAAGCATTTTCATTAAGATCACGTTCCTATTTTTCATGTATTCGAGGCAACAAACAAAAGAAACAAGCATTACCAGTCTAAAATCCTGTGTGATAAAAAGGGAGAAATATTGGGCTTCTTTGCAAGAAGAAAATTTCCATAGTTCCTGGTGTTTCTGATTGCGAAGTGCTTATGGCAAAACAGCGTTTTATAATTTATAGTAAGTTAACAGAGTTCAGTGTTGTCCCTGCAAGTAAAATGGGAAATTTGTAATGACACACATCTTAATATTTCAGGATTTCTCATGCATAATACTGTGTAAAATGTGAAGCCCTTCCTGCTAGACAGTGTTCTTAGTAGCCACGTAACTATTGCTGAACTCTTTGTGGTATAGGTGACCTGGTTGATGCTGGGATATTAAAAGGTGATCAGAGTCTATATCCTATTTCTGCTGATTTGGAACTCTAGCTAAGCACATAAGCTTTTGTGGTTTGAAGATAGCAAACTGCATTTCAGCTAAGCTTCCTTTCTGAGGGTTTGATATGTAATAGCCAACTATTAGGTTATACCAAAAAGTAACCCGAGGAGACAAAAATCTAAGAATACAATGCTGAGATGGTAGAATATTCTGCTGTGTTGCCACTGCCAATCTGTCTTGAATTCTGCCCACCAGAATCCCAACAGATGTAGTGCTCAAAGTACAAAGACAGCCCGTTATATCCCATGGAAAAGGAACTTTTCCTAAAAAAGTTAAAACAGTGTTCTTTGTAGAATTCGGTAGGCCGCTGCAAAAAATAGTGATAAAATGTCTAATTCTGGTTTTGAAAGGAAAAGTAGAGATTGCTTCTGTCTTCAGTTTAGGTGTACCAAAGTCCAATGCAGTGTCTGTAATAAATGTGCCAAGGGGATGAGATTATCTGTGTTGTTAGAGTAGTATGTGTTTGATTTGCTACAGGTATGCTGTATGTTCCCTAAGGTAATTTGATTTAAATGGGTACAACTTGAAAAATCTGGTGAAATGAATTGCTGCTTAAATTCAAAGCAGTGATTAACCTATTATACACGCATCTATTACAATTCCAAGCCTGTATTTTAATAAGCAATAAAATCCATTTTTTTTAAACTCCTGTATGTGTGTGTCTATCTCATCTTTCTTTTCTTTTTTTCAGAATCCAGCAGGCTAAAGTACAAATCCTTCCTGAGCGAGTGCTGCCTTCCACCATGTCAGCCATACAGCTGCAGTCTCTCAGCAGATGCCATGTATTTCCTTCTTCCAAGCCTGCAGCGTGGCAGGACCGAGCCATACATCAACGGTGGCAGAAATATCAAAAGGTTAGAAGTGAGCTGTGTTTGTTTGGTTGGGTTTTTTTTTTTAATTTTTGATGGTATTTTGAAAATCAATATAAAATCCCATCTCTTCATCTGTAGGAAGCCCTACGGGGATGCTAGATGCCAGCCTCCTTTTGTCTCATGTTCTGTGATTGTTTGTCAGCCATCAACAATGGGGAAAAATACAATTTGTATTACGAGTTCTCTTTGGTTTCAATCACAGTATTATTAGAGTAATATTGTTACATAATAATTAATGTAATATTACACATTTTTCTTTTTATGTAGTCAAAACAATTCAGAGAGCATGCTGGTTGGTAAAGCTTGGGGATGAAAAACCAGTAAGTGTATAGGATTTAATTTGTAGGTAGGTCAAAGAAGCGTCTTGACTTTTACTGACATTACTGTGACAATAAAAACATTGGCAGTAAGTGTTGACAGTGCCAGTGCTCTTGCTTTCTACTTGTGTTAATGAAACTAAGGAGGCTTTTGTAACTAAGGAGGCTTTTGTAACTGTGTCTCTGTTTGATACAGCTAGAACGGGTTTTTAAAGAGCAGAGATGGCAGAGGTGGTTAAGAGATGACTCCCGAATTTCAGTGATGAAACAGAAGACCTGTAATGCCTTAATTTGGAGTCACAATTCTGTTTGCCAATTTTATTTAAAACCTGCATCAGTTAAAGGATGAACTTCTGTACCTGCAGTTACTTGTCTACAGAAAATGTGGATCTCCTTTTTTAATAAATATTCATACTTTAGACTCTTTCAAAGAGCTTCCAGAATTTTCACTACTTGACTCTGGATATTGAATTAAAAAAAAAAAACACACTCTTTCAAAGAGCTCCCAGAATTTTCACTACTTGACTCTGGATTTTTGAATTAAAAAAAACCAAAACATCAAAAACCAGTAGATGAGAAATAATGATTGTCAAGATGTTGCTGTTGCCATTAGGGAATTGGCTTCTACTTTTGCTTCAGTGCAAAAAAACCACACACCAAAAATCAGTAGACAAGAAATAATGATTGTCAAGATGTTGGTGTTGCCAATAGGGAATTGGCTTCTACTTTTGCTTCAGTGGCACAAATTCCGTCTTTGCTTGTTTACGCTGTTTTTTGCATCCCTGCAGCTGTGACAGTGCTTGGAATCAGTGGAATTCACACTCAGATTGTAGGGCAGAATTTCCAAGAGCCCTAGGCGGCTGGTGCCAGGCCTGAGCTAGGAACTTCTGCGTGGCTCAGGGGAATAATGAGGTGTGATTTGTGCGAGAGGCAGCTGTGCCGTTTAAAAGGTGCTAAAAGATGCATTTATACAAGTGAATGTGCACTTTTCCCAGTGTACAGCCTTTTCCTTTAGGAGTCTGAAATAAAACGTAGCGTCAAAAGGATAATTTTGCTGGGATAAATTATGTTCCCATAATAAGCACCGTGCTAGTGTATCGCACTAGTGTAGTTATACCAGCAAGAGCCTTTCAGGTGCAAACCTTGCTCGTTCTTGGGCACAGCACAGGTGTTTTAAAGACCAACTATCAAATATGCCCAGAAAGGTTAATGGAACAAGAGTTAGCACTGAGGTCAGTAGGGGAGGATGTGGTGAAACAGGGCAACCCCATACTTCTGAAAAAAACTAAGATTATGGCTGATTTATTTATTATTTAACCTACGGTTTTGGTCGGTGGCATATAAAAGGGAAGATACCTTGAATATCTTCTGATACCTTCTGTATCAGGAAAGATCTGTGGAACTACCTCCAGAAATCGATATAGAATCCTAGTAATTGCTCATTGTCAGATGCACTTAAGGTTTGGATTTGGATTTTTTTCTCCAATGGTTTTGAACTCTGTACCCCCCCAAAAAAAACCCCAAACCAAGCAAAAACAGTCCAACCATGAATAACAAAGAGCTATTGATTCTCAGAGTTATTGAGCAAGTTCATCTATGATTTAACAAGCCCAGAAACACTTCAGTGCGAGGTGGGGAGAGCATGGGAGAGCAGAAATCCCTTTCCAAGCCATCATCTAATAGAGAGCTGAAATGCAGTGCACCTGCATTAAACAAGAACCTGTTTTGTGGCCTGAGATGCAGATCCTGGGTAGGAGCATTGTCCTGTTGACCTCCATCACTCTATTGATGTCAGAACTGTAATGTTTCCAATATGACAGACTGTACCTCTGTATGTTTGCTAATATAATGAGAAATACCAGAAAACAGAAGTTCATTTTAAGGATGGTTTCTGCTCCAGACGAGAGCTGACCCTGTGTCAGCTGTTACAGAGAATATATGTGCTAATTAAAACAGTAACTTGAGTTTTGGTGTTCCTGAATTCTTTCTTCAGAGTACCATTTATTTGCTGTGGATTTTAGTCTCTATTGCCTGATTTTTCTCATTTGTAAAATAAAGATAGTTGCCCTCAAAGGGAAGATTAAAATTTAATTTGTAAGTATTTGAGTGCAGCAGTACAATTTGAGATCATCTTCTGGGAAGCGATGTGGTTATGTAGTATACTGCTTTTTAGATTTTTATTAACCTAAACCTATAAATTTAAGTGTTCTGAAGTCACTGTGGAGAATCGGTTAACTAAGCAAATAACCTTACACAGCTGGAAATTTGGTGGTTAAGGAATGCAGTTGTAATTTAGGGTTTCTTGTTTGCAGGATACGCACAAGCTACACACAAGCTGAAGATTTTTTTAGAGGTGATACTGGTGCTGCTCTATTTTGTTGCTCTAGATCTGCTCTGTATTGTTGTATAGATATTTTTGTACACAATTCAAGTGAACGTGTTAGTCATGTTCACAGTGAAGTATGATACAGTAGCATGGGCTGCTCCTATTAGTAAAATTCTTATTTTGAAAGAGTATCCTTCACTAAAAAATAGTTATGGGACCTTCAGGGGATTTTTCTTTTTTTTTTTTTTGGTTTGTTTTCCTCCAACACATTTATTTCGTACTCAGTGCTCCATTTGTGTCTAAATTTTTCTTCATAGGATGTTAAATGAATATTGTACAGTATTTTGTTCACTGTCTTTGGATAGTTATAATCAAGCTGTTCAGAAGCTTTTCAGTAGGCTGGCACCAGCATTCATGTTCTCTAAGCAGTTCTGAAAGTGTGATTTCCATTAAAAAATAGAGACCAGAATGAGAGCATCCTCTGGAACTTCTAACTTGCATGTTGCTATATTTAGTTATGTTTTTAACAGATTAGTTTTCCATTTAAAAAATATAATCATATATCCTTTGAATTTCTATACATCAATTTAAAATACCTGATATGCCCATTAATCTTCTTCTTTCATTTTATTTACTTGTGCATTTGACTGATATGAATACGTTAATCACCTCAAAAAGTTGTTTGCTGTCATTGCTGAAGTGGCAACAGTTGGTGGAAACTAAGGAACAGATGCCCTGTCTAATAGTAATTAAATTTTTTGAACTGTCTAGTCTAGTTTGAACAGATAGATGCTCTTTCCTCATGGCGATAATTTGTTGTATCTTTAAATAATCAGGTGTCTCGCCTCTGTTTTATTTGTTTGAACAAGAACTGTCCCTAAAATCTGCTAATGTTGAAGAATAAATATTTGTGGTTTTGGTTTCAGAGGAAGTTCCACTGTGCAAGTTTGACATCTTGGCCTCCCTGGCTCTACTCTCTATATGACGCTGTAAGTTCACCTATGCATTACCAAATCATCTATGTTTTAATATCTAATTATTGCATAATGTAAAACCTTTGATTTTGTCTGCTCATAAGTTACATTTTTAAAAAGTATATAGTTTTCAGTTTACTGTGAAAAGAGCAGGAAGGGCTTCCCCCACTGTAGAGTTCCCTCGTGCCAGAGCTTGTGTCTGGGATGGATAACAGAGGTTCAGGTTCCTGCTGTGTTATCTCAGAGCACAAACTGAATCCTTTGTCCCACACGCTCCAGGTGATTGTCCCAACCACTTGGGTCTGTCTTTCCTGTTGGAGTTGGTTTACTCTTTAAAAAGTACATATTTCTTTATATGTATATGTATCTTAGTACATCAAGTAGTTGGTGTCAGAGAGGCAGAAGCAGGGAGGAGGCAAGCTCTCATCTCCTTTGTGCAGTTCTAAAGTTTGAACGGTTGTCTCCTTATCTCAGATGAAAGTTATGACCACCATGGGCCCTTGGTTCAGTTTGGCCCATTTCCCATCCTATTTTGCTCTTAGTTTAAAATATGTAGATACAAAATGAGACTGTAATTATTTTAAGTCTTAAAAGCTAATGTCCACTTAGGGAAAATAGCTTACTCTACGTTTTGCTTCCTTTTTTTTTTTTTCCTAAGAAAACAGAAATTCCTATGTATTTAAATTAGGCTTTTCTTCTAACAAAAGGAAACCTTGATGGAAAGAGTCAAGAGGCAGCTACATGAGTGGGATGAAAATCTTAAAGATGAATCTCTTCCAACCAACCCAATAGGTATGATGTTCTTGAGCTTACCAACTTAAATTTGGGGTTTGGGTGTTTTTTTAAGTTCCTAAGAAAACAAGGCTTAGATAATTTTGTTGATAATCCATCCCTCACTTCCAGTTTCCAATAAATTTTGGTGATTGACTGACAGAAGGATGGTGGAGCTTTTAAAGACATGAACATCCTCAAACTGTGCCAAAACATGTTCAGTAAAAGAAGCAGAACTTTATCATTCTCCATGGTGGGGGGAATGTCATATGTTTCATAAGAAAACAAGAGCCAAAGGCATACTAGATTTTTTAAATTACTATTATTATGTAAGTTTAAGTGTTAGTAGGTGTACCTTTCTTCTTCCTTCTTATTACCTCTTATCCAACATGAAGGAAAATAGCACCAGTAGCTTAATAACAAAGAAGTTGAGATCATGCCCCAGTGAACAGGTCTCTTCTCTCTGCAGGTCTCTAGTTTCTAATGGATGGAAATGTCAGTTGAAGCCTTTCTAGGGGGAAAGACATTCTTTCCTATGTAGACTCTCAGATGCCTGATAACAGGGAAATTCAAACTACAGCCTTCAGTTAAAGTCAGTTAAGCAGCAGGACTGGGCTCTATAGTTTTGATGTACATGGGACTCTTGGTTCTGATTTGCCTAAAGAAAGTGGTGGTTGGAAGTACTTCCCATCTGCTTTGCCCAGAGTGCTGCTTAGAGGACTGGAGATAGAAAGCATATGAAATAATCTGAAAACAAACAAAAAATTCCAGGGGAATTTTTAGGCATTTCTTTTCTCATGATCCACAGCACACTGATACTTTGCTGACTTTAATTTGCAGCTTTTGAATTCTTTTACAGGCTCTGAGGAATGGGATGTTTTTCACCCTAGCGAGGTTTTTGTTAGCTAAATTAAAGAATGGTTCTAGTAGAGTCCACTACCTTTTGTGTTTGTGCCTTTTAATACCTGATTGAAGTTGCTGCCTGAGAATTTTCTATCAGATTAAAACCTTTTTTATTTAAAAAACTAACTCTGGCATCTTGACTGGATATTTTTGGGTCTAATTTTGATCTGCATTGGAAGACATGCAGAATGGTCTGCAAATGTGGAAGAAAGCCTCCAGAAAGAATGTTCTCCAGACAGTGTTCTGCAAGGGGTCTATTCTGGTTTTAGAATACATTGTCTTAATGGTGGTGTTGAGTCTCCATCACTTGTGATCTTTAAGTGTGGATTAGATAAATATCTCAGATGAGGTTTTACACGTTACATGTACATGATCCAGCCTTAGGGCTGGAGACGACCTCTAAAAACCTAAGTTTTAGTACTCTATCTGTAACTGAGTAGAAGTGGTAGGTTTTAATTCTCTCTAAAATTCTAACAAGCCTGGTATTTTCTCGTTTCTAGATTTTTCTTACAGAGTTGCTGCTTGCCTGCCAATTGATGATGCGTTACGTATACAGTTGCTTAAAATAGGTAGTGCTGTTCAGCGACTCCGGTGTGAATTAGATATTATGAACAAAGTGAGTATTTTTTCCTTACTTGTCATTAAATTTTTCTTCCAAAAAAAAAAAAAAAAAGGGGGGATTTTAACAATTTATAGTCTAATTTTGATCTGCATTGGAAGACATGCAGAATGGTCTTCAAATGTGGAAGAAAACCTCCAGAAAGAATGTTCTCCAGACAGTGTTCTGCAAAGGGTCTATTCTGGTTTTAGAATACATTGTCTTAATGGTGGTGTTAAGTCTCCATCACTTGTGATCTTTAAGTGTGGATTAGATAAATATCTCAGATGAGGTTTTATGTGTTACATGTACATGATCTAGCCTTAGGGCTGGAGACGACCTCTAAAAACCTAAGTTTTAGTACTCTATCTGTAACTGAGTAGAAGTGGTAGGTTTTAATTCTCTCTAAAATTCTAACAAGCCTGGTATTTTCTCATTTCTAGATTTTTCTTACAGAGTTGCTGCTTGCCTGCCAATTGATGATGCGTTACGTATACAGTTGCTTAAAATAGGTAGTGCTGTTCAGCGACTCCGGTGTGAATTAGATATTATGAACAAAGTGAGTATTTTTTCCTTACTTGTCATTAAATTTTTCTTCCAAAAAAAAAAAAAAGGGGGGACTTTTACAATCTATAACAAAAATGTATGAAATTTCCAAATAATACTTACTAGGGAGTGAATTTGAGTGTCCTTTTATTTCTTCTTTCCCCTTGAAAAATTTGCTCAAGAAAGAAAATGCTCTCCCAGTACTAGACTCTATGTTTGACAGCAAGAAACAAACATACAATTTCTATCAAAAGCAAATATTATTATATTTCAGCACCTCACAGCAGTGTTCTAGCCAAGAGATGGTGCTAGAAGCCCAATGTTGCTCATAACAATCTTATGAACATCGTAACCCCATATTGACAGAATAATACACCACAATCAAGTAGTGGTATGCCATGAAAACTTGCGGGTTTTGTAACAAAAGATAAAACTTTTTAGTATTCAGTATAAATCTAAGTGTTGGACTGAAAGGATTTTTGCAAAAGACACTTATTGACTTGTTAGGCAATACTGTTTTAAAAAGTTTTGTCTTTTAGATAACAATTAATGTTTACCATAAATAAGTAAAATACGTAGAAAAAAATTATCCTTGGATAGAAAGAGAAAACATAAGTGACTGCTGCCCAGATAAACAGAAGAATTAGTACAAAATCTGTTCTGAGGGAAGGGGAGAGACATTTTTATTACGTGCTGACAAGCGGCTGGGAATGAGTGAAATTACCCCCTTTGTTTTCCTTTCCAAGTGTACGTCTCTCTGCTGTAAGCAATGCCAAGACACAGAAATAACTACCAAGAATGAAATATTCAGGTGAGTTTATTGCTCTTCATCTTTGGGAGGTTCTTGATCAGAAACATTGGCACAGCAAAACAGATTGAGCTGCCTTATGTCTTACAACTGCTGTGTTTTCCACAGCTCTAATAAAATTCAAGTAAATATTTATAAGGAATTTTCTTTATAAAACAGAACAGCTTACTTTGACCTTTTTTAATAAAGAGTTGGTAAATGTGAGCGTTGCCATCTATCCTGTAACAGAAGTTAGTGTGAAAGGCCAGGTTACACCACCTTGCCTTGCCCCTGAAGAATTACACTCTCTGCAGTGAGTTTTGAAATACATATTTGCTATATAGAAAGTTTTGAATTATTTCTGAATAAAGTTCATGAGATCCCAGATTTTATTTCTCATCACTTCATCCCAATCTCAACAGCAGATTACAATGCACTAATTGGGTGGTGCAGATAAGCTCCCAGGACGTTGACATGCAAAGAAATTACCTATTTGTGTCATTAAGCATTGTAATACCTTTTTTATTTGAAGAATACAGGGTTTTACCTTAATAACTGCACTAGCCAGTATGTTCCTATTATATATTTGACCTATATAGTATCTTCCATGTTCAACGATGATAAAACTATACATTTTCCAAATAATTGCTGCTTCTGGCAGTCTTGTTACCATTTGAGTCTTGAATAACTAATATCTGTCCATCACTTACAATAATGTGAAGGTTAAAAGATATCTTGGCTTAACAAAGCTGGGCTCCCTACGGTTTTCCTTTATCAGCGTGATAAGAACTTGATGTGGTAATTAAAGGCCATTTCTTATCTTCTAATCAAATAATGGATTCCAGAAACGATGGTTCCTGCTGTGGCGGTGTGATATACTTTAACAGAAGAGTGATGAGAAGTTAGTGGAAGGAATTAATGTATTTTCTTACTTTTAAAGTTACATCTTAAAGTAGCAATATAGCTATTACTTGGCTTAATTGGAAGCTGCTATTCAGAAGCAGCAAATAAAGTAAATTATGTGTCTGTCACGTACCTTTTTTTATACTCGGCTGTAGGGTTTTGAGGAAAGGATTAATAACTGCCTTTAAATGAGGTGTTTTGTGTACCATCCTGCCAGCTGTGCTCTAAATCACTTCTCCCCTTAACAAACACCTGGGCAAGGTTCATCTGACCACGAGAATGTTTTAATCTTTACTCCTGATAGTATCTTTTTAAATACCTTTTCTGAAGTAGGGACTAAATAATATGTCAGGTATGTGCCAGATTTATTACATGGGACACTTACATTTCTGCAATTCTAAGTTAATTTGACCAATTATATTTTATATTAGTATCTATTTTCTCTCAATTTTTAATAATATAATTAAGGATACATTTGGGTTTTTTTCTACAGCCTAAAGTGGTTCTTTTGCGATGGAAGATAGTTTTAAGCACGGTTGGTAGTTTTTCCTCTGTTGGCATTTGACAGCCTTTGCTTTTTTGGTTCTTCTTTGACAATTTGTTAATTGTTGTTAATTTTTTGTTGTAGCTTATCCTTATGTGGGCCCATGGAATAGTTTTAAGCACGGTTGGCAGTTTTTCCTCTGTTTGCATTTGACAGCCTTTGTTTTTTTGGTTCTTCTTTGACAAAGTTGTTAATTTTCTGTTGTAGCTTATCCTTATGTGGGCCCATGGCAGCCTACGTCAATCCTCACGGGTACATCCACGAAACCCTGACGGTGTATAAAGCCTGCAACTTGAATCTCAGCGGACGACCGTCAACAGAGCACAGCTGGTTTCCTGGGTAATAACAGCTAAAAGAAATTTTATGAGTAAATGACAGAAATTTGGTTGTAAATATGTAATTTTTGAAACATACATCATCGTTTCGCTCATGCGAAAAATAGGAAAGTAAATTTAGACTTTCAAAAAATACAGAATAAAATGGAAAATTCAGATAGAAAGTTTTCAGAATTTCTCTTTAATTTTTTTAAAATGTGGAAGTCTTCAGATTTTTAAAACATGGTCTGGCAACTGAGAGCTATAAACAGGGAACTGATCGGGAGTTTCTTTGTGTATAGTTTTGTACAAGCCGCAACTAAAATCATAATTATTGTTTCTATGCAACTTTCATCATAAAGTAAATAAAGTGCAAATGAAAACCAGAATATATGAATGCAGTTATTCTACTGAAATACTTTTTTTTATTTCTAAAAGCTAAATAAATATTATATGAATTTAAAAATGACTAACATTTGTATTAATTGGGTTACCTTGGGGTTTTTTTTGGTTTTTAATTAGTCTGGCTTTCTGAAACAGTAGCAGAATTAACTGTCAAGATGACAGGCCTTGCATCAAATTGTCACCCCTCTCTGGTAGCTTAAATGTCATTTTTGTGGCTAGATGTTGTTTTTTTTCTGCATTACCACATAGTGCTGAGTAACGACTCGGAGGGTGTGTGGCATATCTGTCACAAGACGTGAATGCTTTAAGACCCCCCGAAGAAAACTTGTGGCTTATAACATCTGGAATTAATTTTTGTCATTTTATGTATTTCTCAGCTATTTTCCTCTATGAGGGTTTTGAAATATTCACAGTCTGCCTTTTAAATCCATTAAAGAAAAGCTCCCTGGCTCTGGGAAGCACAGTTTCCCGTTAATCTAGAGGCAGGGCAGAATTCACTTCTATTTCCATTAAGTTACTCAGAGAACCATTTTCTGACTCTTGTTTAAGGCACGCAGCATTTCATCCTACTGTTGTAACCTTGTGCTAATAAAATGCTTTAGTTGCTTCTTTTAAATCTGTTAAAGAAAAGCTCCATGGCTCTGGGAAGCGCAGTTTCCTGTTAATCTAGAGAATTCACTTCTATTTCCATTAACTAACTCAGAGAACCATTTTCTGACTCTTCTTTAAGGCATGCAGCATTTCATCCTACTGTTGAAACCTTGTGCTAATAAAATGCTTTAGTTGCTTTCTCTCTTTGAAGGCTGATTTTATTTCATTTTCTTTTATTTTGAAGATCTGCAGGGTTTTGAGATGGGAGCTGGGTCCCTGATTCCTGAAGATGTTTTTTTGAAAATCTAGTTTGAGATCAGTGTTACCTTCTTACTGCTGAGTGAGCTTTGTCCGCTGTGTTAAATAGAGCTTTTATTTACATCCTCAACCTTCTGTTGTGTTTTTGGTAGATACGCCTGGACTGTGGCCCAGTGCAGAATCTGTGGCAACCACATGGGATGGAAGTTCACCGCTACCAAAAAGGATATGTCCCCTCAGAAATTCTGGGGACTGACACGCTCTGCTCTCCTGCCTCGGATCCCCGAAGCGGAGGATGACTCGGACCACGATAGATCCCCCTTGCTCTGCCTGTGACCTGGTGCCCAGCTTTGGAGAAGAACGGGCAGTTCTCTGTCTCTTCAACGCATCTGCTCAGTTCTGCTTCTGATGCTTAACTTAAAAAAAACCCCAAGAATCCACACCCCCACACAAAAATCAACCAAACAAGGTGGCTTACTCCAGTTGGGTTTGGGTACTGGTGTTTCGGACGCACTGGGAACTGCAGGTTAGATTTCAAAAATGGCAACTGAGGAAAGGAGGTAGCATCAGACAGCAAGAAATCCATCTGGACAGGCTTGGGACTGAACTTTCTCCTTCCTTGTATAATTGCAGAGAATGCTTACTGCTGACAACTTGCAGTGGAATGAGGTAGGGGGAAACTCAAATTACAAATAGAGTATAATTTATGCAATATATGTATGATGGCAGAGACCAGTTACTTGCTGTGGATTATCTTCCATAATATACTCTAAAGTGGTTTTGCTGAGAATCCCCGTTTCTAACTTGGTGGAGCGCTTCACATTTTATGCTTGTGCTGTGTCTCAGACATTGAGTGGACAACCATCAAGGAGAGCAGGAGATGAAGTGTCCCTCCTGATGGATACCATGTTGGTCGTGTCAGTGGCAGAGCTGGAACCAGTGTCTCAAGAGCTTCCTGCAGCCAGAACAGTTGCAGTTACAGGATGCCCTTTGAAAGGAACCCCTGTGAAGCCTTCAGTCCTTCCAAGTTGTCTCATCTATTTGGTCGATTGGACTTTAGAAGTCTTAAATTTTAAACTATTTATACAAAATGTACAACTCGGTCCCAGAACGTAAACTACGTTGTTGTTTACTGTTGAATGTGCTTATATTTGCTTTTTGAAATGATTTCTCTGAAGATTAGTTTCCCAGCACACATATCCAGGGGTCTGTGAAGTGCTTTCTAAAACATGTAGCTAACTATGGTGATTTCTCAGTAGTATTTATTTTGACAAGGGGAGGCAGCACCTCTTTAATATTTTTTTTTTCTTTTTACACTTTCATATCATGAAGGAAAATTTCACATAATCACCCTTACCTTACAGAGGGCATTATGTTCTAAATACATCAGAAATAAGCAGCAGTGCTTTTTTTTTCTTGGCCTGAAGTGCTGTCTGTGCTAGAGAAATCGGGTGCCAAAATGGGGCAGCTTCTGCCACTGATTTCTTGGGGTTATTTTTTCCCCTTCAGAATGCACCTTGGTGATGGAAGATTTCTTCAGTGTGTGTACATACACCCTTTTGTCTGTTGATTTTTCAGTGTGTGTGCCCTTTCTTTTGAAGCTTTATCATTCACTCTTTATTTCTTCACAGTAAATCTTTGAGAACTTGCATTATTAAATACAATGACACGAGACTACTTAGGATTTAGGACATGGGCTGCTCCTTAGAGAGGCCAATGCAGAGCCTGTTTGAAATGGGAGTGTGGTACCTGCTCCAGCACAGCTGAAAACACCCCAAAAGATGCTGAGTGGCTGTTAGGGTAGTTTATTTAGCTAGTTTTGTAGAAACTAATGATTGTGTAACTCAGGTTTAGTTCTGTGAAGCCTTCTACCTCTGTGCTTCTGTGATAATTCTCTCCGTAGGCATCTTTAATACCCTGTTTAATTTTCTGTGTGCAGCACCCTGCCTTGCCAGTGAACTGTGAAAAGCAATACTTGGTTGAATATCATCCTGAACAAATAGAGGGTGAATGATGGCTCATTTTCCTCGAGAAAACATTCTGTCTTTTGATTATGTTTCTGTAACAAGCTTTCAGAAGTTGAAACTGATAAGCAGTGGTGTGAGGAGTGAGACTGTGAAACCCCTGTGCTTGGGTAACCACTGACAGCGCGCTTTGCTTTCCCCACACACAGACACACACACTCCTCTTAGCTGTAAGATTTGGGTTATTTTCCCCTCTAAGACACCTAACATCTCTCCTTTCCACCACCCTCAGCAGGGCTCGTGGGTGGCAAGAAGTTTGAGGGTGCTTTGAAAGTCCCTTCTGCTGCCCCTCGGTGTCAGTGCTCACTGAGGGGGTGGTGGGTGAGGTTTTCAAAATGATTGTTTTCTCAAAAAGCTCCTTGGGGTTTGTTTTTTTTTTTTTTCCCAATCTTTTGGATCGCCTCAACTAAAAAAGGCATTACGTTGGCAGTGTTTGAATACAAAATAGGCATATTTTTTTGTATTGTGTATATATAGTCAAATGTAAACTAATATAATCAAGTGAGAGAAGTCGGGAGTAAAATGTAGCGCTAATTTAATTTTATTGTTGGTGATGCTGTTCCATCTGCTTAACCTTCTGGGGCATGTTTGCCCTTTCGAAGTCCCTGACACTTTCCAGGTTGAAAACAAGCAAAGATGATGAATCCTGCCACGGGGGAGCTGGTGGTTGAGTGCTCCAAACGCCCAGCGTGGGACGTACGGGGTGAGTGGGGAGTCCAGGATGGCTCTAGACATTGATTAATATTTTCTATGCTGCTTCTCTCCTTTTTTGGAGAGAAAACCACTAGATTGGGATTGTGTAAAATTATTACCAACAAATACGGACACTGTATGCTTTTAAGAGCTAAGTACAAAGGAAATCACATTTTCTGATAATTTCCTAGGTGTTTACTACATTCATTGGTTGGCCTGTAGCTTCCTGCGTTAATTAATCTAATTGACTTGCTGGCTGCTGCCAAAAGGGATGATTTGTCTCTTCTCCCCCAGCCTCCTCTCTGTCCCTTTTGATGGAGATGCAGAATTAGGCACCCGTGGGGTTGGTGTCCTGACTGCGCAGCCGTGTCTGCGCCGGGGCTGGCGGCAGGAGGGGGGACAGACAGCAGCTTTTGGGGACAGACTCAGCTGGGGCTGGCCTGGACGGGAGCACATGCAGCTTAAAACCACTCATTTTCAAGCTGTCATTGCAGTAGCATAAGGATGTCACACAATCAAGCCTGTAATATTGCACGTTTTTCCTCTATTTTAGTTTTGCTGCATAGATAGAATCACATAGGACACTGCATACTTGGTCTAAACTGTGTTCCAAATACTCTGCCCTTTGGTTTTTTAATAATGCTGTTTTTTCATATGTGCTGCCATTCGTTTTGTTTCCATCATCGGGTGGGTTTTTTTATCCACCTGTTTAATTGCTTTGTGAAAGCTGCAGGAAGGGTGGCACCTTCTCCGCTTCAACTCTTCCCCTCTCTCTCTCTCTCTCTGTCTTTGGGGACAACTTTTCAGAAAAATCTTGTTGCTTGCAAACATTTGCAAAGAATAAAATTCAATTTGTTTCAAAACTGATCTTTTTTTTTTTTCTTCCTGATTGTTGGGGTGGAAAGAAAGAAAATGCTTTGGTTGATATTGTGTTTTAAACTGGTTACCGTCAAAATGTGATATGTGAGCTGAGTTCCAGCGTCAAAGAATGTGGAGGCAAAGGACAAGGAAGGTAAGAAATGCCATGGAGGGAGTGTAGGTTTTTGGTCCAATTAATAATCAAAATGAAACTGGGACTTTTTCCCCAGGGGAAGCAGAGGTGCTGGTGGGAAGAACTTTAAGTTCCTGAAACCTGGGCTTCTCCCAAGCCCAGTACTTTAATTACCATCCTAAATTCTGTACTCAGAACAGTTTAACTAGGGAGGAGGGGATATATAAATATATAACATATTAGAATAATAAACCTATATAATATTATATAGATAGATATGTCTCCTAAACTTTTAATGTGTGTGTATATATACAGTAATACATATGTAATATATAAATTCATATGTTAAATTATATATTTTTGTTGTTCTTATATTTTATTATTACATTAGTTACTCTACTCTACTTTTATTGCTCATCTCCCTCCCAAGATTTCAGTAGCTCGATAAAGGAGGTTTCAAATTAATTACATAATTAAATCAAACACCATCCTGTTCTTATGAGATTTGCCTTATTAACAGAGAAAAACAGCAGTTTTTTTCTTCCCCTATTGTCTTCCCTAAGTTCCTACATACCTTCAAAATCATTTACTGAAAGTAACTGTCTTCCTAGGGGGAAAAAAACCCAAAAAGCTGGAAAGTTAACTGTAAGAAAGCACAAAATGCTGAGTTTTGTGGCACCGCTCTGGAATTACTGCCATCTGGTGGCGCAAAGTGGTATATAAGGAAAATAAACAATTTTATTAGTTACCATGGCTTTGTAGGAAAACTTAAACCTGTAATAAAATTTATAGACACAAGAGATGCTCACAGTTGGAGCTATTTTTTGTTTTTAAAAGCACACCAAAACACCCCCATTAAGACCAGCCCTTGCACCCACTCTGAATTACCAGATACCACATGCAAACACCTCCTCAAGGTTTCCTTCTCCCCCAGCTTTGACCAACAGTGAAATCTCTTTACTTGTATTTTCCAAAACGTTGCTTATGTATTTCTTTATTCATTTTGAAGAGCCAAATTCTTCAGGTTTTCCTTTTGAATTCAGAGTTCATTTTTAGTGTGAAGAGACAGAAGGATAAATAACACAGAAAGAAGCCAGGGAGGATCCTGGAGTGGCAGCAGAAGGGATGGTAGAATTCTTCCCAGCTTCTTCCCAAAATAACCCTGCAGAGTTACCCGGAGAGGTAAGAACTGAAAACATACCACAGAGCCCTTCCCTTCTCTAGGGATTTAGTCACTAGGTGATAAGTTATTGAAAAACCATGGAAGAGACAAGAAGTTCATGATACTTGAACTTAAACATGATCGTTCATCACCCTTTTAATCTAAAATTGATTCTGGAATTATGGAAAATAAAAGCTTTACAGAAAGCTTTATAGAAAACAGACTTGTTTTACATGGTAAGAGAATTTGGGAACTGCAGGAGTGGTTATTTCGATGTGGTATCCAGCTTCAACTACAAAAAGAGATAAAGCTCATTTCTCCTTGGCACAAAAAACCCATGACTTTTATCTAGAGGATAGAAACATGGTTTTTGTTTGGGTTTGGTTTTTTTTTTCCCCAGACATAGCAAAGTCAGAATGAGAAAAATCCTCTAACAACACCCAGGAGTCAAGATAAAGTAGTAAGTATTTATCATTAATATACAACAAAAAGAGGTAGAAAACATGGAATTTAGCAAGTGATGTTTTACATTACTACATAATTAAACCTCTCCTTGCAGAAATTAGCAATTAGTAGCAGGAAAACCCTGCTGTCTGAGGATCTTAAACATGACAAACACTCTACTGGCTGTGAGTACAGCGGCACAGTATTTACTGGTATCTCGGTTACACTCAGAATAGGGCAGGAACAGTTCTTTAGTATTATTTAATTTTACAACTTTTTCAGGCAACTTAACAGTTCTTCTTTGTCCATGTGGTACCCACTCTTCTTCCACTCCTCCCGCAGCTGCTGTAACGCCGCTCCGATTTCCTTGCCAGACGATACACCCATTTTCCTTAAATCATGGCCGCTCACAGGAAAAGAAGGAACAGTCCATTCCTGCATTTCTTTTAAAAGATGCTCTTCCCCTTGGTATTTTAGAAGCTCGTAGATCTTGGAGTTTGTATTAGCTTCCCTAGACTAAGAGAGAAAACAAAACAAAAAGAGAGGATTCACTATGGAACAGCAGAAAACAGCTCAAACTGTGCTCAACGTTGTGTTATTCCCATGATGTCTTATTAGGCACCTTCTGGACAATGAGCTGGAGCTACAAAAGCCAGGATCTCTTCTGCCTCACAAGTCCTAACTCGGAGGCTGTGTGATATCCCTGGGGGCTTCCCAAATTCCAGGTAATCACTGTAACCATTATCTTCAGGCTCTAACAGGAGAGGAACTGGGGCCTTTCCTGCGGGAGACAGGTCTCACTGCAGAGACTGCCGGCTCTCGCCTTCAGTCTCGGGTACTGCAATAAAAGTGTTCAACTTCTCCTCAAAACTACTTGAATTTTGCAGTGGAAGAGTGTCACGGGTTTGCTGCTGAACAGTGCTCCTCACCAAGGACACAGCCCGATGCTCCAGGAATTTCACAGAAAAAGCTGGAGTCCTTCCAGGTCCAGATCCTGTCTCGTGTTTTAATGCGTAAGGGGAGATGAGCAAACTGCCAGTCCCCAGGTGGGGTCACAGGAAACTTCTGTTTCAGGTGACTGAATATGACATTTTTCAGCTCGACTGAAAGGTAGGCATTTAAATCCAGTTCAAAAATGCCTACAGAACAGAAGCTGCTCAGAACTACTGAAAATACAGCGCGTTTTCTGTTTGTTTGTTTGAAATAATTTCTTAAAAATTAATTTATAGTCTCAGTATTTTGGATGGGAAAGGAAAAAAAGCTTTTGAATCGTCTGCTGCTATTTACCCTTTTGCAAAACTAAGGGAATGAATCTTTTAATCCCAAAGTTTCTGCTTTATGTTGCAAAGAAATGACAGGACATTTGTAATTTGTTAATTTCTGGCCCCCTCTCCAGAGGAAAAACAACCAAACCAACCAACACCACCTTAGTTAACTGCAACTGGTATCAATAATACAGAAAGATATTCTTCCAGTTACTGGGAGGATATTACCATCCAAATTTGGCTCATCTTTTTTGTCAGTACATCCCATTTTTCCGATGAAAATACCACGGTCTTTAAAACCCTGGCAAAAATTTGCCTAAGACCAATAAACTGGAAATTCAAAGTTTACTGTGAGGAATAAAATAAAGCAATAGGAATTACACTTACATCCATTAGGAAGTCCTGATATGGCCTAAGTGGTTCTGGACCCACAGCTTTGGTTAACTCTTGCCGGTGCTTCAGTAAAAAAAGGCCAAGGTTTTTTTCCTCTTTGGAGATTTTTAGCCTCAGATCAAGGTTTGTGACATCATCCTTCACCTTGAACAGCGACGTCAGAACAGTCATCGGTTTCGGACACAGATGTTGAATATTTTTAGTGACTCTGTCAAATTCCTCTAAGTTTCCATCAAGTGGTAATCCTAAAGGGATACACCCAAAAAAAGTGCAAGAAAGAGCGGTAATAAGAAATGTGGATGGTAACACAGAAAAATAAGAAAAATCTAATTTCTTTCCCGGTAAACCCAAGTTTTATCTCACTTTTCCATGTTATAGTTCTGTTTGTATATGATATAGGAGTAAGAAATCAATCTTCATTTCACTTTACCTATGTATTGGGCAATATCCAGCTCATACATAAGTCGAACCAAATGATTTACGTGGTTTCCAACAAGAATTTTTTTCAGTTCCACCCAAATCCTTTCTCCTGATATTCCAGCCAAACCTTTGGCATTTTCTTTAATTGCTTGCAGTGTCGTAGGTTCATGATCACCAGGTTTTTCTGCGATTCTTCCATAAAACCTGCCCAAATAAAACCTCTGCATGTTAGATTGAGAGCAATTATTCCATTTATTACTGCTATTACTGCTATCAATGTCATGACAGTGTTTAATATTCTAATTTATAATACTAGAGGAAACTTGATACGACAATTACAACTCTTTTTACATTGCATTTTGCCCATTTCGGAAATCTTCTACAATGCTTAGTTCATTTCTTTATCAAGGAAAGGCAAAACTTAGTACCTGAAATATCTTAGGATTCGTAAATAATCTTCTTGTATTCTCTCACTTGCCTTTCCTACAAATCTAATTTTCTTGTTTTTCAAGTCTTCATATCCATTAAAAAAATCATACAGCATCCCATCCAAACCTAGAAAAAGAAGAAAAATATGGAGGAGTATGAATTTACAAACACAGCTGGCACAATTAAACGCTCTCATTTGAAAATACAGAAGACAAGTTGTGTGATTTGACCTGGTTTGTCAGATCATCTCCCCTATTTGTACAGACCTCTCAGCTGACAGCAGTGCAAACAAACAAAATTGAAACAGACCGAGAGAATTTACTGGCTTAATTTGAAAAGCAGTGTTTCCTCTAAATAATTGCTTTTGAAAGAATTTACCTAAAAACATGGAATTGATAGTCAGATCCCTCCTTTCAGCATCCTTTTCCCAGTCAGTGGTGAATTCTACCTCTGCATGTCGTCCATCGGTGACAACATCTATTCGAAGAGTAGTAATTTCAAAATTCTGTTCATGGAGCTGAAAATCCCAGACATCGTTACTTCAACACAACTGTGAATATAAATATAAAAGCTATCTATTTTTTCAGTCTCCTGTTGGTTTGCATGTACCCAGCTCGAACACTAACTGTATAAATACATATACAGTGTTTTCATACATTTCTTTTCAATCAAGAAATACAAGCACCTGAAAATAATCCTTGCATTATTCATTTTCTAGGTGCTCTGCAGAAGATGGAAGGAGCAAGGCAGAGGAAGCAAGACTTGGGAAATCAGGAGCAGGATCAACTTCCCCACGTTATCTGAACACGTGAGCAGCCTCAGCAGCATGAACGGGTCACGCAGAGGTAAGATTCATTAAAATATGGCAATTAACTGAATTCTACAGACTAATCGAAAAAATCACCCTATGCTTTAAAGCAGGTTCTCACTTAAGCTCTTACTGTGGTACTTTAACAAAAAAGGTGCTTGCTACCAGTTTCCTATCAGATATGCTGCACGTTCACAGATAAAATTAGAAAAGACCCAAGTCAAATCATAAACCAACCCTGGCAGTAATGGTTCCATGTTTTTCTCCTTTGTTATTGATCAGACGAACGCCAGCAGACGTGAACATTTCCTTCATCTCTGCCGGTGTAGCTGTAGTGGCAAAATCGATATCTTGGGGTGTCATTCCACTCAGCAAATCCCTCACAGCACCTCCGGCTATTCTCAGCTCGTAGTTCTTCTTCTCAAACAACTCTGGGAGGGAAGGAAAGGAAAACCATAAAGCACTCTCTTATATAAAAACCATAGCACACTGTCAACCATAACCTGCCTTTCACAGGGGAAGTCCATAGATGATCCTTTTATCATGTATAGATATACATCTGTGTATAGACACTCTATGTACCTATATACTCAGACATGCAGCAAGTATGTACGTATCTTACAGCTTTGTGCAAAAAGCTGAGCCCCCCCATGTATTTTTCCAGTCATCTCTGATATATTTTTCTTGAAGCATTTCTGAGCACATTTACAGGGTGCTAAATGATGCTGGGGGGCTCTGGGGCATTTTTAGCAGTTAAAACAAGGGGAAAGCAGTGAGTTTACTTCTGGCAAAGCCGTGAATCCAAATTTTTTCAGGAACAATTAATACCCCACAATGGCTGATGAACACGCAGCCCTACCACAATCCTCTGAGCCATTTTAAAGGGGCGAGAGCTGAAGGGAAGCACCCACCGCCCAGAACACCACAGCCACCCCTCGGCACCCACCGAAGCCCCTCTCCCTCTGCCTGGTGTGAGGGGACGGGGGCTGCGAGGGGCAAACCCGGCACTCGCCGCCTCCTCAGGCCACAGCAATGGAGGGGCCCGGGCCCAGGCCCCGCTGCCCCCCGCCCCGGCCCGCACTCACCGGCCACGCTGCGGAGCCCCGGCGTGAAGAGGGCCTGGAACTGGGGGGACTGCAGCTTCATGGCGCCCGGCGCTCGGTGCCGCAGCCGCAGCGGCGGGAGCAGCCGCAGGCCGGCCCTGCGGGGCAGAAGCAACACCTCAGCCCACATCTGAGGAGAGACACCGACAACGACCCGTCAGCCGCGCCGGGCCGCGGGCACCCCGGCCTCCTCCCTCTGCCCCCGCCGCCCCCCAACCCCGGCGCGGGGGGCTCTCCCCTTTCACCCCCGCAGGCTCCCCGGCCGCAGGCACCCACCCGCGGGGCTCCCGGGGCGCTGAGGCGGCGGCGTTAGGCCCGAGGAGCCGGCTCCGGCCGCACGCCTTAGCTCCGGCGCCGACCGATGAGCTCAGCGGCGCGACGCCGAGCGGCCCGCCCCTTCCTCCGGCGGGAGAGCGGCCCGGTGCCCGCCGAGGGGAGGCGGGAAGGGCCTGGGGACGGAGGGTCCGGGTCCTGGGTCTTGGTCCCAGCCCGGGCCCATCCCTGCCTCCCCTCAGCTGGGCCGGGGCCTTCCCCTCTCTTCCCTCCCCTCAGCGGGATCCGGGCCCCGATCCCGGCCCTGGACCAGCAGATGGGAGGAAAAGGAGGGCCCGGGCCCCGCTGAGGGAAGGCCGGGGAGGCCCGACCCCCTCGGCGGGGTCAGTCAGCCGGGCAGGTGGAGTTAAGGGGGTCAGTCCTTCCCTCCTCACAACTGTATGAAATTTTACTGGAATGCCACTGGGTTTGGCCAACTGCGCGTCCCAGGGGTCTCCTCACCCCTCCCTGTACCACTTCTGCCAGGAGGCATCTCGGAAGGGTTGGGAGGAGTGGAGCCTGAAGGAGGAGCCTACCCTATGGGAGTTGGTTGGGAGTGTGGCTCCTTTGAAAGCCCGAGTAAATCTCTGTCTCAGCAATAAGGGTGCTACGGGATTCTTGGTTACAGGGAGGAAACATACAAGAGGTCTTTTATCTCACTGCAGATAGGATAATGCTCATGAGCACAAAAAGGGGGTTTTTTGGAATTACCTATTCCAAAGAAACCACCTCAGATTTACAATAATGTAGTCAGGTCTGTGTAAGAACATAACCTTTTCTTACCCTATTTTTTGGTGACTACTGTTTATTAAATTCCTGCTTCAGCTTCAGAAGTTACCTCTTTTCAACAGAAATATCTCACTGTACATGTCAGAGCACTCTGCCCAGTAATTAGCTGCTTATTCAGAGACATAAGGGCTGGCCAGAGTTTTGGAGGCCACCTAATTGATCTCTTTGCCTGATGGTAGGATTTGATTATGACTTGTCATTCCTGGTTGATGTTTGTCTATAGATGCTCAGTGACAGAGCTTCTTTCAGTCCTTGGCTGCCTGCTCTGCTGTCCCCCTCTCCCTAACACTGACAGCTTTCCCTGATATCTAACCTGAATTTTACCTGCCCTTCTCTTCTAGTCCCAGCCCAATGGCCTTGGAGAGCATGTGGAAGCTTTAACACATTACATTTCTGCACAAGCCTTCCCTTGGGTTGTTTCCTCACCTTTTAGGCTCTCGTGGTGTCATTTGCTGTGTGCTGGCTTCTCTTCATCTGCCCCATGGCTTTCCTACGCACGGTGGCTGAGCTGTTTGGGCTGCACGTGAGTGGCAGCATTATCAGCGCTGTGCAGAGTGGAAGGATTACTTCATGTGTCTTGCAGAGGACACTGGCTTTTCCCTGGCCTGAAGTGCCTTTTTCACATGTGTGTAACATTGTTTATGCCTCTTCAGTTTATGACCCTCCAACCCCCCCCCCCGATCCTTTCCTGTGGAACAGATACCTGATCAGTGGATAATTAATTGTTTATACTAGTAATTTACAGTTAGAATTGAGAGCTTGTCCATGTTGAACTGCACCCAGTTTCCACCAATTTGTCAAGAACTTTCTTAATTTTAGTCTAAGCCTCCAAAGCTTCTCTCAGCTTTGGTGACACCTCTCCCAGTTTGTATCACCTGCATATTTAATAGGGTTCTCTGTACTTGCAATCCAGGTTGTTAATAAACATAAGTCATTAGCCTTCTTCTCGCCCTTCCTATAAGGCCACTACATTTGCCCCACTCTCTGCAGAGTCTTCTCTAGGCCCTTGGGTTGGTTTCTGCTGCTTGTCCTGATGTGAGCCCGTGTTATCCATGTTATCCCCATGGATCACAGCCCAAAGCTCTCACCACGAGATGAGGAAGCTGGTCTTCCTCTGCTACTGGTAGCTTCTCAAAATACCCCTGGTTGTCCACATGGCTGTATGGCAACAGCATTGGACAAGGTGGTATAAAACCATTGAACAAAAGCTGCACAGTTTTCCAGCAATGTTTGGATTTGATTTTCTAGGGGAAGAAAAACTTGGGATGTCAGCAGTGGTCCGTAGGTAGCTGGCTATAGGTTATTTCTTTGCAGTCAGTCATTAAACGTTCCTGCTCTTGCAAAGTTGTTAGAGAATTATCAGACTAGGGAATATATTTAACCCTCAATAAATAAAAAGTCAAAGCATTTCGGGGCTAAACTGTGTGCTTGCATGGAGCCTTCCATCCTGTGGTTAAACCTGTAGTTCCCTTTTTCAGTGCCTGCTTGTCTAACTTATCATCTGCCATCATTTCTGAAGTACCTATCGCATTTGTACTTGAAAGGCAGCAGTTATAAAAGAAACCCACAGGGAGATGACCCAGAGGACGTTGGAACAAACGGAGCAGACTCTTCCCAGAACTTCGGCGACTCCGCAGGTAACCTCCTGGGCTGTCTGGTGTGGTTTGTTTGTGTCTTGTTGTGTTTGTTTGAAGACTGTTTTTCAAAGTCAGCTTTGCCTTACAGTGGGAAATGCATCTGGAACCTGCTTCCGAGCAGTTGCCTGTGAGATAGCGGGACACGTCAGCTATAAGTAAGAAAAGCATTACTTTTTAGAGGCTGTTTTCCATGGTTTTGATTTCTATTGTCCTTTAAGAAGTATACTCTTTGCAAAGGGAATATATTCTTTACCTTCTGCTTATTACTTTTTACCATATATAACCAAAACGTAATATAATCAGGGCTTTTATTTGCCCCGAGAAATTAGTATATAAGAAATACCTCTTCCTAAAGCTGTATTTTCAATCTTAGGCTCATAGCAAGAAAAATTAGCACTTTTGAAAACAAGGCAGGAAAAGATAAACTGATAAAAAAAACAGGGATAATATTTGAAAACTAATCTGCATTGCAGTAACATTTTATAGCCAGTTACAAATCAGTAACCTGCTCCTCAGAAAATATTACATCTGTGTCTTATACTTGCATGCTTTTAGACGGCAAAAGTACCTTTGAAAAGATCTTTAGGATCTTCTGAAAAGAAAGTGCCCAGGAAGAGTCAGGCTCCTTATTTTTTGAGGACAAAGTGAAAAAATCTATAGATAGCAAAACCCACTTTAAGTAAACCCGAGAAAGAGCCATTTTTTTTCTGTGTGCTAAATGCCAGAGCAGTCCTGAGACCAATGTACTGACATTACTCAAGTTAGTAGACATGAATCTTAAGCAGCTGTAAAACACGAGGGGTTTTAAAGATTTTTTTTTTTTTTCTTAGTAGTGTACTTTTTTCAAAAAAACGTAAGTGGTCTTAGCAGTGGAACTACTGAAGCTTCTTTCCCAAATCCTCATAGTTATACCCGATAGAGCTTTGACTGGAGCTGGAGAAGCACAACCTCTACGGCAGTGGTATGTCCTTTGGTGGCTTCTTGTGTCTTTCTCACTGTGGTACTGGGTTCACACTACATGAGCTTAATCTTCTTGAAACTGGTTTTTAGCTGCTGAATAAAAGCACATGCGCACACATCTGTGCGGTTCAGAGTTGTGTTCTTGGCAGAGTTGTGCTGGGGTTATTGCTAGCATGAAAATGAGAAGCTGGTTGTTGTTTTCAGGGACTTGAAGTTGATAACTTTTTACTTTTAAAAAGAGGGGAAAAAAGTTATTCCTGTATTTAATACTCTCATCAGTTAAATGAGCTATGTGGGGTTTTTTTGAAACAGGAAAGAAAACCTGATGGCGTTAATTTGTACAAAAGCATATTGGAAATGTGCGTCATGTTCTAGCAGTTCTTTTAATTAGTCTTTATCAGATAAAGCAGTACAGGTGTGGCAGAGGTGGTGAGAGATCAGGTGCCATTGTAAACTTCTGTTCAGGCCACATAACGCCCTCCAGAACAACATGATCATGTGAAGCTGAGGGCACAGTATTCAAGTGAGAAAATCCAAAAGAAGGATTTTGTAGGCATAAATGTACGGTGTGAAGAATAATCACCTGATTGTGATTCACATACATTCTTGAAGAGCCAGAATGTCTTTCAATAAACCAATATATGTAAATGCAAAGCCTGACTCCCCAGGAACAATCCATTAGCAGACTCCAGAGGGTCAGTTAGCCTCGTGCACAGTGTGGCTAGCAGAATGGTACGTACATACAAAAAATCTAGATAATGAGTGGACTTGGACATTAAGAAATACACTGTAGTGTAGATTATGTGTCATTTTAATGAACTCAGCATTCATACAGTGACTGTCTAGCAGAAGTACGCCAACTGTGATCAATTGGAGTGCTTCCAGTCCCTGGGTTATTTATTGGAGGTTCAGGGAGAACTGATGGGTTAAAGACGGTCTCTCTGCTCATTACCATCTGAAAATATGATGTTTTCCATACAAGCAATTGGTGCAGTGCCCCAGGGAAGTCATGCAATTGGGCTGGGAGGGGGTATTTCTCTTCGGTAAGAACATTGTGGAAAGCTGCTGTTCTGTATTTCCATGTTGTTTATATTAGGTTATACATGAATGATTACACACAGGATTTTTTTTCTCCCAGTACTTCATGAAACAATCTGTAGGAAGCATAAGAACATGCTGGTTTTAAGCATTAAAAATAGTCATTCATTTAAATTAGAAACAAACAAAATAGTTTCTCTTATACCCAATAATTAACACTGGAGAATTAGCCGTGAGGTGAGCACTGAGACTGCTTTAGAGAGCTTTATTGAAGTAGAAACTGGAAAGTAAATTCCAGTAAGTAGCCATTTTATATATGATGGCAGCTAAAAATATGTTCTTTCAGAACAGTTATTTCTGTTCTGGGAGTAAATGGGACTCTTCTGAAGGCTGGTATACCTGAACCCAACTCACTTCTCTCTGTGGAGAGATGTTGTGAGTCTGTGACTGCTGCTCTCAACATCCACACTGACAGGGTTGGAAACCAGTAGCTTTTTCAAAGAAGGCTGGCAAAAGCAGCAAAATTAAATGTGGTTGGTTGTACTTATATTAAATTTAGCTATGATAAGATGGATTTTCCTGCAAGGAAAGGAGAAGAATCTATCTCCTGCAAGGTGGCAGTTTCATACCTTTCATCATGTGGATTTACCATGCTCCATGGTTTTTGTGCTTAACACTGAGGATTGTGTTTATTTTTAGTTCTTGGCTTCTGTAACACGGTGATGAAGCACATAGGCTGATACACGGCCCTTATTTACCAAAGGCTATGGCCAGCATGATGAGAGTTCTTCTGATCCTTCTTTGGAGAACAAACTTGGTTGAGGCAAATGCACCTCAAGCTGCAGAAGGTAAGGCATTTTTCTTCTACCAGTGCATAGCCAAGGCCCCTCTACCTATTGGTCAAGTGGGTTCTTTTACACATGAATAAAAGAGTCCATGGCATGAGTACGGGACCACAGATGACCATGCTTCCTGGGATGGTTGTACCCTGTCTCCTTAGATTGCTCCCAGCCAGTGTCTGAGGGCTGCTCTGCTTTGAGAGGGAAGAACCAAGGGCATCAAAGGTTGAAATCATGGGAGAAATGAGGACTGATGTCCCTAACTGCCTTGGAGATGGCAATTAAGGGAGGGCAGGCTCTGAAGAATGCTAGAAATGGAGGGGGGTAGATTGATTATTTCATTGCCTTGCTATTTATATGCTAACTTTTTCCCCCAGCACGAGACCTTCCTCATTTCCATATAAGCTCCAGGAATCCCTCTTGCCCTGTCATTTTAAATTATCATTCCCATCCTTCTGTGTTTTCTTCCGTTTATGCTTAATTCTTCTGTTCATCATTTTGTTTTTTCTCTCACATAGAACTTCTTGTGGCTGTCAGCCCTCTCTTAGCCCCCACATTAGGCTCTTCTGCTCTCAGCTTCTGTGAGTGAAAATTCTTGGTACGGTCGATCACTCGATCAGCCCCATTTCAGTACAGATGCCCAATGTCTATGTGGCTATGAGGATCAAGTTGAAAAACCTGAACCTAATTAACAAGCCAAATGTAATAGATCATTGTGATTTTCGAATTGGAACCGTTGTAAAAATTCATTTTTAATCCAGGTTTTAAGTAAACTCTTATTTGATGAAGTTTTGGTTGCTATTGAAAGATATTTTTCAAATATTAGAAGCATTTTATAAGAAGCTGTTGAGAGGATAGAATATTGAAATGAAATTATTGCCTTGTGAACAGCTATAGCTCTAAACAATTCACTGGATTACTATGTTATGAATATTTTTTTTGTTTTCTCCCTTACAGTTCAGGTTTTCCCACCTCTTAACTTCACCCTTACAGTCTCTGCGTTAGCACAAGTGCTTTTACACTGGAAGCCAAACCCTAATCAGGAAGAAAAGAACTACACTGTTAGCTATGATGTGAAAATCCTAACCCCTGTGCCCGAAGAGGTAAGATAAATGATAAATCCAGTATCCTGAGAAAGCTGAATTCAACATGTTGCACCAAAGCAGGGTGCAGGAGGCGTCGTATTCCTCTTGAGTGATTGGCATGTTGAGTCACTATATCATAATCACTCTTATATCATAAACAAATACTTTGAGGACTGGAGAGATTCCCTTTCAGCTCTGGTACATCTCTGCTGGGATAAGAGCTAGCCTGGAAATTACCAGTCTTTGCAGGCCCCTTAATTCAGCTTCCATCGCATGTGAGGATGATTATTTTTTTTAATTTCAAGTATGATACAAAGAAGACTTACAGTGTCCGCACAGCTGCCCTTCACAACGGTTTCTCTGCGCACATTCGGACGTTACTTTTCCATAATGGCCTTGAGATGAGAAGTGAGTGGGTGAAGGAAAAAATCCCACCTCTGCCAGGTAAGAAGAAATGCAGGGGAGGTCTGACTTTCATGTTTGTCCCGCTCTGTGGGCTAGACATTAGAAGGTGACAGGTTTAATTCTGGAAAATTACAGCATTTTCCCCTCTACCTGCTACACTGATCTTAGAAAATAATTTAGTCTAGGCTTTTCTCTACTGCTGCCTGAAGTACAATCTGGAGGTGCAGAACACGGATAATCCATATAAAATATTCTAAAAATTCCTTGTTAAGGCTAAGATAACCTACTTTCATACACTCGAGGATATTAAAAGATCATGTTGCCTTGGTGTATGTGAAATATATAATGGTGCTGTGTGGTACTGATTCACTTGCACTGTTTAGGAGTTTTCATCCATCCGTAAATGATAGACCTCTGTGATAAGGAAAAGAATTGGATACAATAGACAAAGACCAAAGACTGTAATCAAAGTGGTTTAGCAACATGAATATCATACAAGTTTGTAATAAGATCTTTTCTCTCTGCTTTATAATTCCTCCACTCTCTAGGTGCCCCGGAGACATCCATCACTAATTTGTCCTGTATTACTCGCATCACCATTTCTAGCACCGTTTCTCTCCACTGCACTTGGCTTCCTGGCCAAGGGGCACCAGAAGATACTGAGTACTTTCTATTTTACAGGTCAGTGTTTTCTCCCATTTTACTCAGCAATGAATTTCGTTAAGAGCATCATGTCTCACAAGTGTTTTAATTTAGGTATGAGACATACACTGAAGAATGTCAAGATTATACGAAAGACAAGTGGAACAGGAATATTGAGTGCAGATTTCTAGTGACTCGTATTGATCCTGAAGAGATTGACAAGCTCATTGTAATACACATTAATGGGTCTAGCAAGCGTGCTACAATCAAGCCTTTTCAGCAGTTATTTAACCAAAATGCCATTGGTAAGTAGAAATACTTCATTTTTTTAGAAATTAAAAATAGCTAGCAGGATTGTCAAGAGATTTATGAGAGAATGCCACTGGACTGACTGGTTCTTGATACAGGTGAAAGTATGTACTGGTTTTGCAAAGACATCTCAATGAAATTGAAAGAGATTATAGGACAGAAATGGATGTTTTTAACTAAATTTGACTTTAATAACTTATTTTAAATGATAGAATGACACCAAAAAAAAGCTAGAAAAGTCAATTTCGTTATTCTGTTCGTTAGCCAAAGCATTCTTTCTAATACTCATTTTCAATTGATTCAGTCAATATACCTTCAAGTCCAGTTTTTACTACCTTTTATTTTACAGCCATTCTTTAAAATGAAAAAGACAAATGATGTTCAAGATAACCATGTCCTTTTAAAGATTGTCAAATAAAGGGTAGTATCAACCATGACTGTCATCTTTCACCCACCCAAATAATTTATTTTCCTACATTAGTTCTATGCCTTTCACTTTTTTGTAAACAGACAACATTTCCCTTTCAGGGCTTCACTAAGATAAAACAGTTGACGTACTTTCATAGATATTATCCCCATAATACCTGCTGATTCCTTCCTTTGAATTTGTTTCAGTTTTCAGAAACTTTCTTGGTTACATCCGTTGGGCTATTTTTTTTCCCTAAAAATAAGTTTCTCTAAGTGCTCTATCATTAATTTTGTGCTTTTCTGAAAATTAATGTAATAAGTCCCCCTCCTTCATAATCTAGTTTTCCAAAACTTTTAAGTGCATTTTTAAAACTGTTTTCCCTTAACTATATTCTCCAATATAGTTATTCCTCCTAAATCTTTATATTTTCTGTCCAAAATGTGAAAGAAATTCAAGGATTATTAAATTTATTGGAAACACTATCAGGTTATAATTATTAGTATTTAAACTTTGCTCTATAAATAACTCACCAGTATAGTTTTCTTCTTGTAGAGAAAGTCAATGTTCCCAGAAATGTCACTGTATTCTTGGAGCAAAATGATCTCTTGGCCACGTGGGAGAAGCCAATTTCTCTTTTTCCTAAACACTGCTTTGAATATGAATTTTACCTCTGCAACCTGAAGTCAGGTAACAAGCAGGTAATTACTTCTGTGGTGCCCAAGTCTCCTGTAGCGTTCCTGTCTCTCAGCTGACCAGCCTCTATTCAGAATTGGCCTATAGCTAGAATTTGCCTTTATGCAACCTGGGGAAAGTCTTCATATTCATGGATATGTTACAGAATTTAAAACATTTCAGGTAAAACCTGCTGTTAGTACATTTTTGAAACTATGGTCTTTTGGTGCAGTTTGTGTCCCATTTGTGATTAAGGTTCAGCAAAACCAAAGTCTCATCAATTTTCAGATTTTTCCTCTTTTTCTGGGTGTCGTTTATGGCTGCAACAAACTATCCCCAAGAGACTCAGGAAAGCAGAAGGAGAAGAATTGGAGTTATTCAGTTTTATGCATCTGGGTTCAGAATAGTAGGAGGATGAAAATCCAACATTGTCATAAGGAAGAATGCAAAACTGAGGCATCTTTCAAGAATTTGCCCTGAAATACTGGTGTATTATGAGAGAAATTACACCCATAAAAATAGAAATCTGACTTCAAAAGCCAGGCCAGATGCTCACAGTTAGTCTAGTAAAGGAGTTTAAAAAAAAAAAAAAAGGATAAACATGATTAAAGTTTGTTTTCTGAATTTAGTCTTAAGCAATGTATAACAGTACTATATTATTTTCCTAACAGATATTGAAAATATCCTCAAATGACTTCAGATTACGGATTGATGTTACCAGCAGGTATTCCATACAAATAAGAGCTAATCATCACACATGCCTTACAAGAGGATTTTGGAGTGACTGGAGTGAAGTTATTTATGTTGGTAAGAATGACATGCTTCTTCCTTATAATATTATTACATTGCTGGAAAGCAGATGCTGCCTAATCATGAGCATGCCCAACACCAAGTAATTTTAATAGAAGCCAGGAAAAATAGGTATGTGAAGGAAGAAACTGACTTGTTAATGCCAAGGGGAGTTATCTCCCAAGCAAACTTTTGGACATATGCAGGGTTTCTTTAGACAGTGTTTTGTTCTTACATGGTTATGTTTTTGCCAGTTTTAAAGTAATTTAAGGCCTAAGTTCTAGGTAAGGCCTTTCAGTTGCGTTACTTCTTTAGATTTCACATGTGTTTCCGTGGCACGTATCTGGATGTTTATGCTGGAAATTAATATGAGTGATCATGTCAACTCTTACTTTAGTGGAGCTGTCTGAACTCTTAAATGTTGGGAGGGAAAAAAAGAGCACGTTTTTAGCATCTTTGGAACATAATAGCTTGCCCTGCTTGTTCTGTATTTCCTGCTTGTTGAACATGTTTTTCTGGAAATAACAGTTTCATTATCACAGCACGTTATCAACTGTTTCTTCTTAGACATCCTCCTTTGCTCTTATCTTTTGAGTTTCTTAACTTCCTGGTTTTCATTTAAAAAAAAAAAAGAAGTCCCTTACACTCTCCTGTTTACCATATTTTTCCCTTCTATATCTATTTGCAAGTGAATGCAAATCTGCTGGTGTTTTCCCTCCTTACCCCAACACATCTCCTTGGGAAGAGAGTCTCAGGAACCTGACCACTCACCTGGGGCAGAGGGGGGTCGATCAAACATCTCAAAATTAAGAAAATTGGGCCTGTTTATTCGCCTCATGCACCTATCTGGGCAATAGTCTGCTGAGACCAACTTTGAGATCCATAGACCCCTTCTGAGCCCATATCCTCAGAAAAACACCGGCTGCCTGTCCTGTAGCAGCAATTCTCCAACTTAATTACAAACTGAAGCCCAACTCTACATCATTTCCTTGGGCAGTGGGGCTCAGACCCTGCCAAAGCGGGTGGTGTAAAACCATACCTTGATACCAGCTGTCTCTAAAAGGTTGTTTAGAAGCATTGCAGTCAAACAAAGCTAGATGAAAAACCATCAGTGCAGCTGAGTGGGCTGGACCCTTCATTGACTATGCATGGCCACCCAGTATGAATCAAATCTGTGAAGCTGTAGGTGCCTTTTCAAAACAGAACCTTGACAGAATTACCTGTGATTGCTCCCAGGTAGAGAAATTCTGCCTCAGGAAACATATCAGCAGCCAACTCACAGGAAAAAGAGGGGAGGGGGTGTGATGTCCTTTTTTACAGGCAAGTTTATGATTCAGAGAAATACAGTTCCTGGCTAGAAAGGATTAACAGATATAAAGAAGGGTTTGACGGAAAACAAGCAGTTTGTGCCTGAGATTATTGGCAAGCACAGCTATCATCCTTCATATCGTCCTTCTGGTGGGCCTGGGGTCCTCATGCTCCTTGGCTTGTTCTCTCCTTTGCCTCAAAATGAAAGAAATTTATTGTTGAAATCAGAAAGTCAGTTTCCTGGAAATTCTTCTTGCAGCGCTGGGTTTAGTTTCTAATTCTAGATACCGTCTTCATCGTTTGCATGTTATTTTGTGATCTGAACACAATCATATAAAATGATTGTGTGAGTGTGTTTAAAATAATCTGCCCTAAAACAATACATTTAATTTCTTTTTTTCCTTCAAATTCAGGGCAAAACAAACTGGAGAATCCTGCAGCCTGGATTCTTGCTGTGCTTTGTGTGTTGGCGTGCTGCACATTCCTGCTTGTTGCTATAATATGCAGAATGTAAGTATTGTCTTCTTTTTAATTACAGTGCAACTAAGGACTGGGTGTTCAACAGGTGTGGGGGGATGCTTTATTTAGCTTTGCTTTATTAAGGTTTGCTTAATTTTAAGAAAGGGCACTGAGTTTGGTATTCAAGCGTAATTGTACAAAGCAAAAGTACTGAGTAAGTAATAACCAGCTTCATTAATTATCAATAATATCATTCAGCAAAATTGGTGGGGTAAGAGGGTTATTCAATTGAATCTTAAACAACAAAACCATGTACTGAGTGAGGCAAATGTGTTAAAAATCTATTTGTGCTTACCTTGTTTCTTCACTTAAATGGATCTGGTTGGGTCAGTGATGTCCTCAGGAGCACTCTGTCTTTAGCCCTGGTGAAGGCTGCTGAGAGCATCTTTTATGGCTAGAATGTAAGGCTGGGATTTGCTCAGTCTTGTCTAGTCCAGCCTGGGGACCTACACTTTGGACTGGGCTCTAGCACGTAGGCTGAATTTCAGTTGACACCAGGGAGTGTGGCAGATGCTCTGAAGAGGTAAAAATTCAGTGCCTATGTGCTTGCTGCTCCTCTCAACCTCTTAACAGGAGCAAACGCATTGAATGATTGTTTGCTTTGAGTTTTTGTACTATTTGTTTATTTTATTATAATTACTACAGAGGATCTGGATGCCATGTAGTAAAACCAGGTGCCATAGAGCCAAACATTCCAAAACGTGCTGTGAAGAAACCCAGATTTCTGGGTTTCTGTAGCTGTGACTAGTCAAATCATAAGTGAGAACTTAAAGAATCAATGTAATTACCAGCTTCCCCCCTGAAACATCCGTCAAGCAGCAATTATCAGTCCACAATAAACACAGCTCCCAGTATTGTAAGTGCTCAACTGCTAATTTCTTATTCATCTCTTTAATGACTTTTAATTTATTGGTCATCTTGATGTGTCCTTGGCTGTTTTCCCTTCCATACCACATTTGCTTTATCACAGAAAGGTCTTGTCTACGGGAATGTTACATTAGAATAACTGTTATTAACTCTCCCTGAAGTGTCTGGTATCTATGATAACCTGTTCTTAAGTCAATCTAATTAGCATAGCAGGTCTCGATAAGCAATCCTTTTCGGAACAAGGCAGATTAATTCCCAGAGAGTTTATTCATGTTGTGCTTCATATGCATTTTTTCCCTGATGTATTGGTGGAAATCCCCAAACTGCTCTTACTCCTGTCACTGATTCTTTTTGGATTGAGCCGTCAGCCCAGCTATAGGTCCTCCCCTGCTCCACCATCATCTTCATCAGCTCCCTCCTCTCTTTTTGGGACAGCAAAACACCAACACCAGTTAGTTACAAAACCAGTTAGTGGCAGTCATGCTGCTCCATGTTTTCCTGTAGAGTTCAGCAAGTATTTTGATATTATACAGTTACCCCCTGCAGAGCCCCTGAAACAGATATAGGGGGAGAAATAGGTCTAGGGGAAGACTTCTACTCAAGAACCAGCTTAAAGATGCTGTACTAATGCATTTAATGAACTTTAATAACACTAGGCAAATTTAAGCTACCTTTTCCAGGTTCAGCTGCTTGATACTACTTTTGTTGCTTCTAGGAGTTTCTGGCTGGTATATAATTCCCCAGCACCCAAAGGCTTATTACATCTTTGCCAAAATGATTATAATTCTATCTGCCTGCTGCACTAAATTTCACAAAGTTGCTGGCTTTACTCCGCCCTTCCCAAGCTGCTTCTTGCTCAGTGTCCTTGCCATTTCTCACTGGGAAGTGCAAGAAGATGAACTGCAGCACTTAGCCTGCTCATTTGTTGTATCTGCAGATATTAAAAAAAGAAAAATAGAACAGGTTCCCTAGATCACAGTTTCATTAGTACTCTCCGTTTTTACTGCTCTTGCAAATTCATGAAGTGTACCGTGCAATTCAAGCCACAGAATCATTTCAATTTTCATACAATTTGAAGCCATTATAAGGAATTTCATTATACCAAAGAGTTCTATAAATTTTTCTGTGTGCTTCCTGGTGGTTTCAGGCGTCAGAGATACAGACTATGGTTTGGGAGAAACACTACAACCCAAAGTAGCCCTTTGGGGCTGTTAGATAGTCTTTTCCCTTCACCTACTTGGCAGTAGCTGATGGGGTTACTGTCTTGATAAAAAGTGCAACTGAATGTTTTCCTAGTTTGCCCTCTGTCTTTATGAATGAGCATCTTCTGTCCTTCCTGAGGCTGTGCCTTGGAATAACATTTTCTCCTGGAGGTGAGCCCACAGGAGGACGTAGTTAATAAATTGCTCCCAGCTGCTCCCCATTTAATTGAGGTGAGGACAGTCAGTAGCTCTGAAATCAATGTGGTCATCCCGACCCCCACCAGTTAACCCTCCCTCTTCTGCACCCCACTGGGGCCCATGACCAGCAGTCACCAGCCACCCGTTACAGGGAAGTCATTTTGGAAAATGTCACAGGGACTCAGGGGAGGTGAGACACTAGAAAAGACACTCTGACATACTGCGAAAACAAATATTTTATCAGCCTCATCGTAGCGGTTAGAAGAGGGAAAAGAAGAACTTGTTCTCTTACTTATTTCTCTTTATTTATCTTTGGTCTTTTCATGTCACAGCCTGGGGGAAAAGTGGCAAATTTCAGGCAGAGAGAGACAGCACAATAGCTCGACGTTCTGAAACACCGCGTTAGGGCATGAGGGTCCCGGGGGCTGTTTCCAAAGCCTGAAGGTCCAAGTAGTGCTAATGGAAAGGGCCGTGCTCTAACCCATGTACAGACAAGCAGAGATAACTGCAATGCTTTTTGTGACAAGATATTTAATCACATCATAACTCCAGCTTTTCAGTGTCCCGCAAAAAAGAACAGGCCCGTTCTGAGGGCAGCACTGTCACCACCCCCACCAGTGCCTCACTGCAAAGGCTTTGGGCAAGCAGCCCCCCCAAACACCAGTGTGCTTCTGCCTCATTCTGTTGGGTCTCTGTGGACCCCTCCTTAAGTATTTCTATTCCAGAAGCGACATGTAACTCATGCTTTTTGCTGACTCAAATAATGGGTCCATTAAAATCTTTTCTTGACCAACAGCATAACTAGAAATGTGCCAATTTTAAACAAAACCAAATCTTGTTGGTTACACTGCACAGCAATAGCATAAATCAAAACCATGCTCGGAGCTGAAATGAGAGACAGGTGAAATCATGTGGCCTCCAGCTCTTTCCACCTGGAAGGCCTGGGAGACATGATGGAGTGCAGGAGTCATGAAGGCCACAGTGCTGGCAAACCTAACCTGGGTTTGGTCACAGAAACCAAACCCTTAGCAGGAAAGAGTAGAGATGAAGAGTAAAATATTAGCACTGATCCCAGTCCCACTCTTGAGATACAGCAGGCAGAGCCACATCACTGACCCACTCTGCTGGTGGTGACCACACAGCCTGGCTAGTCCTCTGCAGCCACTGATGGCTGGACTGTGTTCAGCAAATGTCTCCTAAAAACAACCCACAGCCTGCTTTTCCTCCCCATATTCCCACTTCTCTGTGTCTAATAATTCATGAAGCATCAATGTCTCCTTCAAGGCAACAGCAGCTCAGCCAGGAAGGTTTAGCTCCAAACTAATAGTCAGAAAATATTATTCCTCCTCACCTCCCTGCTGAGAAAGAATAATAGGATAAAAAAAAAACTTGACAGAACTCAGAAAGCTTTTGGAAGAATAGTCATAAGAACATTAGTGTTCAACTAAGCAGATGTCAGCCATGAAAATTGCTACAAAATAAATGAGGCAGAGGAGCAGCTCTGCCCCTGGTCCCAGCAGCTTGGGCTCCACACCTGGGCCACGTCTCTGCTTCATGGCTGTCAGGCTTGCTCCACAGAACAGGCACCAGATACTAATTCTGGGCTAAATCCTATGATCTTCACTCCGGCCGAGTTTCTGTTAAAATCTGGCCCTATTTGGACATCGTGCTGTCCAGGGGCAGGGATAGCAAATGCGTTTTGGTGACTGAAACGTGAAGTCTGTACCTTGGGATGTATCAAAGACATGAAAAAGTTCACTCTGCAACGTGTGCTGTCACAGAAATACATATGTCTGTGTGCTTGAGCCAGAGTAAAGAGTGTCTGGCTCCAGGCAGGGCAGGAGTGTCTCCAAGGGTGTTAGCAGGATGAGTTATTACACTGCTAAGCAGAACTGTTTACTGTCAGCCATCTCTGGTCCCCTTCCTTGCCTCCTCCGTGTTCCCTCAGCACACAATTATTTGCTGTTGCTCTCCCACCACGAGTCATGGACAGATTATGTCCAGAAACCACAGTCTGAGCAAGAGGCAGCCTGTCTTCAGTGTCCAAACAGAGCAGATGACAACACAGCCCTGGGGAAGAACGTGAGCGTGAACAGACAGATCAGAGCAATTAATTTCTCTCCAAGACAGGCCTGTTGCTGGCCGTTAAAAGCTGCAGCAGTGCACCTTGGATTGGTCCTTCCACCCCAGCAACCTGCTGCAGCTGTGGTGGGAGCAGAGGCTGAGGGAGAGCACCAGCCCCTCCAACTCTTCACCATCCCCATGTTCCCAGGGTCCAGAAATGTCCTGGTAGGGACGGCAGACCTGCCTGGACCTCAGGGTGTCCACTTGTGGACCTTTCTCCATTACTTTCACCCCTTCTGAACCTGCTGCTGCCACCAGGTGCTGATGATTGAGGGGGAAGGGGGCAGGAGGGATGGCAGCACGAGGAGACCTTCTCCTGGGGCTAGACAGGTGCTGCTTGTCATCATCAGAAAAAGCAATTCTTTCCCATCCCTCCACTCCTCATTTTTTGCAGAAACCACGTATGGAGTAAACTGTTTCCACCAATTCCAAAGCCCAGCAACAAATTCAGAGATGTCTTCCCAAATGACTACGAGGTAAAATAACATTTTAATCACTCTTTTGGGTTTTTTTTTTTAGACTAGGAGGAATGCTTATGTTTCTGTGCTGCTCTTTCTCTGTAAGGCTAGGAACATAGAGTTTGTTATCACTCAGTTAAAGCCTTGTGAACTCTTAGAATTTCTAATGTCTGTACTGAATGGGGGCTATGTTGTTAGTTGTGTTGTGCAAAACATGCCCAGTGGGAAATTTGTGGGTGCAGTTGATGTAATGATACGCACAGCCCTGAATTAGAGTCTAATGGGGAGTTAGCCATCAAATTTAGCAGTTTGTGAGGCTGTTTTTGTAATCAAACTGGTGTGTGGGGGGGTCTCACCTGGCTCTGTGGCCACCTCCACTGCTGAGGACATGTCCCAGTGTGCAGAGTAGCTCTGGATCCAGCCTTGTTTGTGGTTGACATGTTTTGGGGGGGGGGGGGGTAAAAATGAATGAAAGGATTAAATGCTATTGTTGAGTGCTTTTCTAATATGCAGTGAGTTTCAGGCAAGTGGTGCCGTACCCACGGCTCTGCCTTTTGTATGGATACACTGTGTGGTTGCTGCTTCCACAGAGCTCTGCCTTGGCAGGGGCTGGAGGTTTGACTCCTGGAGAGCTGATTTATTTTCTGAAACCTCACAATGGGAAATGTTTTGGTCCTACTGTTAAGCTGGTCTTAAGCCTTATTATGTTTGCTCTTACTTCATGATAAATACATTTCCCTTAACAGATAAGATAAAGCTCCTCACTGTCTGCTCAAGGGAAGTGCTGCTTAGTAACTTGATTTTAATTTGTCCCTTTTAGAATAGGGGTTTGATTTTTTTTGGGTATTGTTCTCATTCCATGGTCTGGTCAAGGAAACAGGCTTAAAAGATTATCATATGTTTGCTCACTGGTGTAAAATAACACGACTTAGGGTATCACAAATAAGAATATGAGAAATAGCAAATATTAACACTGCAGCTAGAAAATGTGAGCTTGCAACAGCTGTTTCACATTACCAAAGCAGCACTGCCTGTATTTCGTAATCCCCACCTAAAGTGAGCTTGGTGCAGGTAAGTGATATCAGCTGGAGGCTTTCTGGTGGCACTGTGGCCACAAGGGAGGTGACACAGCCCTGGTGTCTCTGCTGAGATGGCCCAGGAGGGTGAAATCCCCAGTGGCTGTTTTGTTGTGGGTGCTCAGTTCCTAAATTCGGAGTGTAAACAGCGGGGTGAGGTGACGAAAGGCCAGCGCAGCCCGTGGGAACCGCGCTGGGCCTCCAGCAGCTCTGCCTCCTGTCCCCCCCGTGGGCTTCCCAGCACCTGAACTGCTGCTTTCTGCTTCCTTCTGCGAGGCACCCAGGGGTCAGGGTCTGGCCCCACAAGTGGGCTTGGCTGCTGTGTCTGCAGAAAAATTCAAGTGCCTCGTAACGTGTCCTCCAGCTCCTCCCGGGGCTCTTTTCTTTGGCTACAGAGGGATGTCTGATGAGCCACCCAGGTCACTTGTGTTGTGCAGGGCATGCCAAACGGGAAATCTGTGGGTGCCTGAGGGACAGAGTGATGAGCAGCCCTGTGAGATCTTCAGTGGGAATGGGAACTTTCTGGCAAAATTCTTCAAATGCTCTTTCTCAGCTCTTACCTCATGAAATGTTTTGGGTGAAGCCCTCTTTAAATGCACCAACTTGAAACATGGTGTTTTCCACAACAGTCGCTAAAGGGGCTGCAGGAGAGATGGGGAAGGACTCTTTGTGAGGGATTGTAGTGATAAGACAAGGGGGAATGGTTTTTAACTGAAAGAGGGAAGATTTAAATTAGATATTAGGAAGAACTTGTTTGGTGTGAGGGTGGTGAGAGCCTGGCCCAGGTTGCCCAGAGAAGCTGTGGCTGCCCCATCCCTGGAGGGGTTCAAGGGCAGGTTGGAGGGGGCTTGGAGCAACCTGGGCTGGTGGGAGGTGTCCCTGCCCAGGGCAGGGGGTGGCACTAGGGGGGGGGCTTTAAGGTCCCTTCCCACCCAAACCCTTCTAAAACATGTTACATGAGGTCTTTGCAGCACTTGTTTCATAACAAATATTCAACGCAGGCTTAAAATGTTATGCAGTGACTTCTTTCTCTTAATTAGCAGGGTTTAATTGATAATCTCAGTTTACCCCCCAGCTCGCCAGCTAAAAGTGGTGTTTGTTTGCTTTCCAGAGAGCACGTACCTGCACCAATGAGACAGAGACCGAGTTCATCAGCTTTGCGGAGGATCTCTACTGCAGCCCCCTCGACGACTCTGTCTTCTGAGAGGCCACGGGGCTGGCGAGGGCTGCGTGGTCCCTGCATGTCCCCCAGTGTCACCACAGCCAACTTGGTGTCACCTCCACTGCAGTGCTTCCAACGGGGGAGGAGGACTTGCTTCCCCAAGGTACCTTCTGTAACGATAAGCTCTTGAAACAAAAAGTCCCAGTTTAAGCAGAATGGAAGCACACAGCACAAGGGCTGTGTAGGAAGAAAAATTCTGGAATTTTTTTTTTCTAGTTGCCAGCTTCATCTTTTGGATTTTCGTTTTGTTTTAAATAACTCTGACAACTCAAGATGCAAAATGCAGACTGGGACTTGGCGCAGCCTTATGTAAAGCAGCAAAGTGCCCAGTGTGGTTCCTGGCAGTGACCAAGGTGGGTCAAATACTAGGAAAAAGATAAAACAAGCTGTAGAACACCCCAGTGCTGTCCTCCTGGAGCTGCACGGCTGCAGCACATCCATCATGAGAGCGGGGACTCACGCGTGGCCTTCACTGATACAGTTTGTAATGAAATGGTGTGAATTCAGCAAATACCTGAAGGGCCTCCAGGGAAATGCCAGTTTGTTGACAAAGGGAGGGCCTGTCGGTGCTGTGTGTGAGCTGTGACACTCGACGTGGGGACAGCTTGAAGGGTGCAATGGCCAGGCCGTGCCCAGCGTGGCAGTGTCCTTCTTGTACCGCATGAAGGGACTTACATCTTGCTTTTCAACCATTTTGGATGCTGGGAAAAGGCTGTCTCACTCACAGGACTTTATATACCCCAGAAGTCTCTAGATTTTATAGGCTACTTCAGACACCTGATGTACAATTAGAGTTTTGTCATTTGTGTGCACGCAGCTCCCGAAACCTCAGCGTTTGTGTGTGTGGTAGGTTTTGCTGGTGGCCTGGGGTGCTGCAGGCCTGTGGGGCACCACATTTCCACTCGCAGTACGTTCACCACCTGGGAATTGAGAAATATTCTGGTAAATATCTACGAAACACTGCAGAAAACTGACAGGAGTCTCCAGCTCATGAGCCACCAGGAACTGGAGAGCCCTCGGCAGCCCCTGGCAGAGCCCAGCGCTGAGCGTGAAACCCATCAGAGCCCTGGCTGCCACCCTGCACCCCAGCCCAGATCCTGCTCAGCCTCTCAGATTTTTCCTGTGAAGTTCCAGGATGTTGGTAAAAATGTCTAAGCAGATATAGTTTCAACATCGTGTGGATAAAGACGCTGGACTGATGATACCCCAACGCCTGCTGCACCCTCCGCTCGGCTGTCCCGACCGCCCAGCTCACAGAGGAGTCTGTACTGTTTATTCCCCTCCCAGTTGGTGGAAGTTTATTTTTTCTTCAGCTTATTTTCTTCCTTCTTTGAAGATTTGTCCACTTTGCAGCAGGAAGTTGACCTTTTTTTTGTATCTTGGTTTCCCTGGGCTTGAACGTCCCAGGTCGTGGCTGTGTGAAGCCGGCGGAGCTGCGGTGGCCGACACCTGCGCAGAGATGACGATGGCTGGTGAGACCAGTCTGGGGGCTGTGGGACCCCCAGTTTGACACGAAATGAGCTTCACCTCTGTTCCTTACACCCCTTCTGAAGGAGAAAATGCTGCTGAGGTAGGGGCTCTGGAAGTGCATCCGTCTGCATTACCTGGGTCCTCACCGGGGGCCACGGGAGACGGGCACTTGGCTCGTTTTTCAGGCCAAGGCTCCTTTGACATGAGCTGGGAGCACCTGCAAAAGGACAAGAAGGGATTGTTTGTGCTTCCTGAAGCAAGAGAGCAAAGCTTAAAAGGAAAGACAAAAAGGGCACAAACTGATAAACTTCCACAATGGCACCGACAAAACAAAGCACAGCCTGGGACCGCAGAGTGCTCAAGTGTACAGTAATTAAAGAAATGTGCCAAGGACCTCTCTGTGCTCTTACGAGGCTTTCGGAGCCATGAGGAACTGGGCTCCTCCTTCACCTGCAACTTTGGCTGCCTTCAGGTAAGTTTGAAAATCCAAGCCCCATATTGCAACCCATTTATTTCACTGCCTGTTGTTCTGTCCTAAACAAACCGAGTTTGAGACAGCTGGTTTCTGTTTGTGATTTGTTTACTTACATTGTGTAACCCACCAGGGAGTTACCAAATTAACCTCCTGCCTGAAACCACCTCAACAGCCCTGGCTCTGAGCTCTCCAGCTGCAGACCACGATGTTCTCCTGCTCCCAAGAAACCCCCCCAACCCTCAAGCTGGCCGGAGGTGGGGTTAAGCACATTAACACAGAAGAAAAGGTAAGACTGGACCCAGAAAGTAAATTGTTTGGGAAATGCCAAAAGTAACAGAGATCCCAGGTGCTACAGACTAAAAATAATTATAATAAACGAGCCAGTTCTCATCTGGGTGAAATAGCATGGCTCCCTCAAAATTAATGTAGCTCATTAATGTAACAATGTTTGTGCCTCAAATGTCTCCCCTGCATGTGTTTTTAATGGATTTGAGGTGCCCAACTTTAACACTCTTAACATCAGAATTTCATTACTAAAATCCTAAAAACGAGACTAAAGAGAATTCATTTACTGTGATGTATTTTATGTCACGCCTTCAAGTGGGCTAATAAATAAGATTTCTAAAATTAAGTCTATTCCCATTAATGGCAAGATATTGCAGAGATTAGTGCCATATATTTAAGAATATTTTGCATATTTTTGTAGGTTTGGCCACGTGAAAGCGTGTGGGTGAATGCCCAGCACTTACTGGTGCAGGTGGCAGCAGCTGAGGTGTCCCCAGGGTGTAGGGGTGGTGGCTGGGGGGGAGGAAATGCTTCTAATTTTCAGTGTCACTGATGAGGATGTGCATCACGGGGACACAACACAAACAGTTTTCTTTTCAGACAATTTGCTGCCGTTGCCATGGACCTCTCAGGAGCTCCGCAGTGGGACGATGCAGGGGAGAGCCCACCCTTGGGGCTGTGTGTGGCATTTTGCCCCTCTTTCACCAGTTAAACCATCAATCCCCAAACTCCTAGAGCAGAGTTCCCAGTTTTGTGTCTGGAGGGCACAGAAATACTTATTCAGAAGCTGGTTTTTTTCTTTAAACCCGGCTACAAACCCCACAGGAGCCTGTCCCTCGCCCACCTCTAGAGATGGCAATTTTAAATTTCATTTTTAAAAAAACCTGACTTGTGTTACCAGGCTGGTTTGGTTTTAACCTTCATTGATTGCAAAGCGCGATATTGCGCCTTTGAAACGCAGAGTGGAGTCATACCACCCCCTAAAAATCAGAATTACAAAAGCAGGTTTAGCAGTTTCAAGCAGTTCTCCCCAAAATCAAATCATAGAATGGTTGGGGTTGGAAGGCACCTTAAAGATCATCCAGTTCCAACCCCCTGCCCCGGGCAGGGACACCTCCCACCAGCCCAGGTTGCTCCAAGCCCCCTCCAACCTGCCCTTGAGCCCCTCCAGAATTAAACCAGAGACATATAATTTTATTTTTTTTCCTGCCTCCACAAAGTTTTGACTTCAACCGACTCCTATTTGGTATCTTTGTATCAGTGCCCACCCCAGCAGTGCTGCCTGTTGCCATGAGGACATTTCTCACCGGGTACAACGAAACATGGAGGAAAAACACTCCTGGAAGACAGGTATCTTTACAAATGACAGAATATTTATTACCAATACCTTTAAAAAAAGATTACATCTGCTAGATCACCGATAAATATCATTTACACCGGGGAGAAAACTACAGAAGCTTTTTTTTTTATTCTATTTTTCTTGGTTTTGTTGTTTTTTTGGTTTTTTTTCTTTTTTTTTTTAATTTTTTTTTTTACATAGAAGTAACCATATCAAACTAAGAAAGGAACACAGCTTGAAATACTGACAATATTTCTCTGGTCAACACCCCTGACTTTTACACAAGTGGAATCCTGATTATGAGTTACTGAATAAATATATTTAGAAGGTCTAAAAGTTAACTGTATTATTTTGTAAGCAAAAAAGAGACGAGTTACAGGCAAATTCAAGCTATCAGGAAAAAAAAAAAAAAGAAAGAAATGAATAACAAACCACTGCAGCGCATTTAAACTTGAAAATTTTATAGAAAATTCCGTTGCCTTTGACTAGCGTTATCCCGTCTGAGTGAACTTACAAAATTATCCTGTAGTAACAAACTGTCCTTCTCTTAAGAAGAATTATTTTGCTGTGGATATTGTTGTTTTTCCGGCGTTGACTCTCTTCTTTTGCCTTCAGGCCTCCGTGCAGAGTTTCTAAGGAAAGGCAGAATTCCCAGCAGGGAAGTGCCGGAGATCCCCCTCCCTGTGGGATGGCCCGGACCACGCTGCCCAAGTTTCTTCTACCCCGTGGAGTTAGGAAGGGTGAGGAGTGATGTCCCGATGCAGGTGGAGAACAAGCACCTGTTTGGCCAATGGACCCAGGGCAGTTTTACGTCTCGGAGTCGCTGGATCCTGATTTCCTTGGAATAAAATCCCCTGAAGTGAGGTGGGTTCACCCAGGTTTGCACCCAAAGGGGGGGACAGCGTCCTTGGCGCGCTCCTCCTGGCCCCCCTCCCTTCTTGTCACTAGAGGCAGAGATCAATCGTCGCAGCATCTTCACTCCTACCCAATTTAATGCTAATTATGATAAAGACAAAGCTATTTCAAGACAGTAACGGACCTTTACATGATGCCAGAGTATTAGCTACACGTCCTGTAGTCCACAACCAACCAAAACTCATGGATTTTTCCAAGATCATAGTGTTCTGAGCGTTTCCAGTTTGTCTTGCTTAGACCTCTGAATAAAATAGAACATCTTGTGTCTTACAAGTGCTTGATTTAACACAAGACTCATGGGAACTGCCATTTAAGTGCAGCCCCGGTTACCAACGGAATCTGGAACGGTTCTGCCTTGTAAAACTGTCCAAGTTGCAGCCAATTTACTGAGAACAACTTTGAACTCTCCGTCATAAAGGAAAAAATTCCAAACGATATTGTCATGGTAATGTCGTCCATAGCATTTTAGAGCAGAGGAAAAATTAATATCTACATCATATGTTAACTTTAAAAAATTCTATAAAACACTAAATATATAATAAAAAATATGCATATAAGGACATATGTAAACTGCTTTGGTAACATCATATTACAGATGTTTTCAGTGCATTGCAGAGTTTCCAAGGAAACTTCAGACAAAGCTATATTTGCTTTGAGGAAGTACTGTATAATGCCATTCCTAAAGAAGCATAAACATTTTTTTTCCAGTAGTAAGATGTACTCAGACCACAATATTACTTAGTACTGGGTGTCTTCAAAACAACTAGCTAAATGTTGCTTATATTATAAACAAGGAGTCCTCTGTGTCATTTTTGTCATAAACTGGAGCGGGCTGTGAGCGATATCATGATTGTGCTGATGGCTGACAGTGTGCAGGCCTTGGAGGTGGAGGAGCCGGATCCTCTCGCGTAGGCGTCTGAGCAGGGGAGAGAAGGGGAGAAAAAAATCAGCCAGTGGAGAAGAGACCAACGTCCCTTCACCCAAAGCCCTCCCTGGGGTTTGACTTTGGAGGGAAGGTGGCTCTGGGGAAGGTGGGATGAGGAGCCTGGCACCACCAGTCCCCTCCTGCCCTTTGATAACCGCCTCTTTAGTGGCCTTCAAACTGAATTTTTGGTGCCACCTGAACTCCTCCTGAAGCTCCGTTCACAATTATATGACTTCATAGAATCATAGAATTGTCCAGGCCAGAAGGGCCCTCCAAAGGCCATCTAGTCCGACCCCCCTGCAGTCAGCAGGGACACCCCCACCTAGACCAGGTTGCCCAGGGCCTCATCGAGCCTCCCCTTGAATATCTCCAGGGAAGGGGCCTCAACCACCTCCCTGGGCAACCTGTTCCAGTGCTCCACCACCCTCACAGTGAAGAACCCTCTCCTCATCTCCAGTCTAAATCTGCTCCCCTCCAGCTTGAAGCCATTGCCCCTTGTCCTGTCACTACAGGCCTTTGTAAACAGACTCTCCCCAGCCTTCCTGTAGGCCCCTCAGGTACTGGAAGGCCGCTATTAGGTCTCCCCGGAGCCTCCTCTTCTCCAGGCTGAACAACCCCAGCTCCCTCAGCCTGTCTTCGGGGCCTGTTCACTTATTATTTTATATTTTTTACAATACTATATTCAAGCTGTTCCTTAGGGCACCAGCCTGGCAGGAGCCAGGAACCTGCTCCATGGCCCATCGCATGGAGCCAGCCTGTGTCCCCGCTCTCCCGGGGCTGCTGGTTGAACTTGGGATGGTTCATCCAGCCACCCTGTGCAGCTCCACCAGAGGGAATTCTGATCTCACCCAGGGGTTTGGTTTTTTTTTTCCCCATTGCTGTAATTTTAATGCCATATTCCTGCATTGCAGAGGCGCCTGATTTAATGCAGCTTATAAACTGGGGCATTATTAATGGAAGATGGGACATGGAGATTTTGCAAAAGCAACGCTGCGTAATAAAATACTCCCCTTTCTGTTTGTTCTCCCACACAACCTCATTTCCCTAAAATAAATATTTATGCACCCAGCACACAATGGGATATGGCTATACAGTAGCCTTATAAATTTAAAAGCCTCTGAACATCGCATTTTGTGTTTTGTTATGGTGAACTGCAGGGAAACAATATATTCAACATATATATGGGTATGGAAGGGAGGGAGTGAGGAAGCTTAAACACAAATATAATTAGTGTTTCTTATGGTTTAATCCTGACTCGGGATGAAATGAGGGCGACCGTCCCGGGGTCAGTCTGAGTCTCAGCTCCCTCCTGGGGGATGCCCAGACTTCAGGGCTTCAGGGCTCTGTCTCCTCCCCGTTTTGGGGATGTGAAGTGGGGGTGAAGCAGGAGGAGAGGGGCTGGGGATGCTGGCTCTCTGGGGCCCCGCACCGACCCCGCTCCCCCCCCTGGCCTTACTCGATATCTTTGGGATTCGGATCTGCTCGCTGCTGCTGCCGTCGCCCCCGTCGCTGAAGGGCTTGATCTCTATGATGTAGTCCTCGTCGAAGGGCAGGGAGAGCTCCACCGAGGTTTTGTTGGTTTCTATCACGGATGTGCTGCTCTGCCTGTTCCACCGGTACAGAACCTGCACGACAGGGGGAGAGAAAAGGAGGCAGAAAGGGCAGAGGCTCAGACACGGAGGGCGATGCTGATGAGCAGCATCAAACACAGCCCCGGTACCTGCTGAAGCCCCTGGGTGAAATCTTTAGCTTGGTCAAGCTAAAATAAATCCCAAGGCTTGTTTATAAAGCTCAGAAACTTCTGAGGAGGATTCCTCAGGAAACTGAGTTGGGGTATTTGAGGCAGTGCCACAAACACCTCCCCAGAACAAACGGCTTTTTTGAATGACCTGCTAAGATCTGGGAATTCTACTCATTTAGATCATAAATCATGACATAAAATATAAGATTTCCAGGAAAAAAAGAAGAAAAATTGGCAATGTTTTGCTGTGATTCAGGAAAGAAATCAATCTGGCTGTGCTGTCTTAACGGTAAGTTAAAAGAGGACTTTTTGGAAGCCCACTAGATGGAGTTTGCTCCTTCAGGCTGGCGAGTCCCTCACACCCTCTTTCAACTGACGTCTTAATTTGCATTTCAAACCTACAACACTGAAAAGTTGATCCAAATTGCTGAGCTTCATCTGAGGTTTTGACTAAAACCCCTGAGGAATGACTTATTTTTGATAATCCGATGCCGTGCACCAGAGATACTTAAAAGCTGGTGCAGAAACCGAGGAGCTGGCACCAGCTGGTGAAGCTGCCGCCGGTGGGTCAGGGTTTGAAGGAGACCTGAAGCACGTCCAGGTCCTTCGTCGTTCCAAGCGCCGGTGGAAGACGTTTGCACAACTCAACCCTCAAGGCAGCGGCTGGCGGTTGCGCACCGATGTCTTCTCTGGGCCAAATTAAACCCTCGTGTGAAGCGATAGAGCTGAATTCTTCCCAAGATTTCTCTCTAGTTAAATTACACCCTATTAAAACTGCTACTAATGAGGATTCTCTTTTCTTCTCCTTTTGGCTTTGCTTTCCGAAGAAAATGGGAGCTATTAAAAAAGCATTTTATTTATCTGCAATTAAGGGGGCAACTCGTGCCTTTGGAAGGTTTCCACCAAAGGCAGGAGAGCAGTCCTGTGGGTGGGAGCTTCAGGGGAGGTGCTGAGGAGCAGGGGAAGGTCCATGAGACCCACACGGGGGCTCGCTGGGGCCAGGGCAAGTAGCCAGCACAACGTGCTCGCTCTCCACAGGTAAAGCCTCTGATTCTGGAGGAATGCTCCAGTTTTAACCCAGAAAACCACACAAACACCATGGAAAACCCCTCGTCCGGCCTGACTGTACACCCCAAGTTGATGCTGGATTCATGGAAGTGTTCCCTAAGCCCAAAACCAGAACCCAGGGAGGGCTGAAGCTCGGTGAGGACTGAGCACAGGCCCAGGGGGTGGCGAGGGGGGGCTGGTGTCCCCCCCTTCCTGTGCTGACAAAACACTCACCTTGTAGCCTCTCACTTCTGACTCGTTGTCCAGCGCCTTCACTTGGTCCCAGTTCAGTATGATCTTGGAGTCGGATGAATTCCATATGATGTTCCCGGGGGGCTGGCTCGGCGCTAGACCCAAATACACACAGCACTGTAGTACCCAAG